ATCCATATGGTCGATAACAAGAGAGATGTCTCTACTACAATTCTTCGGCATAGCTTCTTGTATTGGAAGGAAGTAGGCCCAATAGTCAGAAACAGATTGAACTGATGCACTCGAAGCGTAGTATGCCCATATGGTGCCCGGGTCGAGGCTTGCAATCCACACTAGCAGGGCAGCAAAGTAGCTACCGCCTATAGCTACCCATGGAACATCTTTGGCACTGCTGCCAATTCTCTCGTCGGTAGCGAAAGGTAACTGGACTTGACGTGCGAAATATGTTATATCCTTCATGCTGTTCTCGACAGTAAGGTACTTCAGGTTTTCAGTGGTGAAGTTACGGAATGGTGTGCTATCGCCCCAGTAACGATGTTCGAGAACGATTGTAGCTGCGCCAATCTGCTCAGCCAGGGCTCCTGTTGCATGGCTGGGGGTTAAGAAGCTGTGGTACATAGTAGCGTTGACTTCTCCGGGCGAAAACAGTATCACCGGCGAACCGGGACCCCTCCAGTACGTTGTGTCGTAGTAGTAGAACTGGTCAAAAGTCCCCAGGCTAGGGTTGTTGTGGTCTATCAACTGTTTGAAAGTGCTGTTGTCGTAATAGTGTTTCTTCGGCGCCGATTCGCTACCTCTCACGGGTGGAGCACAACCCCAGCCTTAACCGGACGTTAACATATCCAGTTTGTACTCTACCCGTTTAAAGACTTACCTCCATAGGGGCCACAGTCATACCAGTCCTCGCCATGAAATTTGTCGGCATAGCCGATATGAACGTGGTCTTTCTGAGCTCGAGTGGGAATCGAGAGTGCTGCTAAAACCCACAGTCCTTTCATGATAGGCAAGATAGATGGAACAATTACAAAGTCTACTGGATATTGCAATCAGCTGTAAGATTCTTATAATCACCCTATGTACGTCAGCAGCATCCATGTGCCGAGTGCAACCCGAATAGCTGAGGTACCTAACGAATAGATAACACAAGACTGCTGCTATGCTTTTGTGGATCAGCCCCAGCTCTAAATTTGCCTGTGAAAGATCCCCATGACGACAATACATGTCTATTTCTCCGATGTGCACACCCTGTTGCGTTGTGTAATGATCGACGATGTCCCCAGGCAACTGAACGTCGCTCAGCACCCGGGTAGGTATTGTGGGCCACACTCGCCTCATCTACAGAACCATCTTTATTCATACTGCGGATCCGATCGATATCGAAATGCGTTCAACAGCTGCTCGAGATCGCGCTCAGCTCTGTCTACCAAGTCAACGATCAAGACAACGGCCCGTAGCGCTTATGTGGACGGCTCGTATAGTTCTGGAAAGAGGGGTAATGCGAGAGGTTCCTACATAGGCCCGAATTTTGCTAAGACGGTCGCGAGAAAACCCGAGATGGCTGCAGACAGCTTCCCGCATCACCCTGCTGTTGGGGGTTTGGAGGTTGTCGGCCCGGGCCCATGAGATGGGGCCCGTTGCTTGGCAGCGTTCTGATCGGCCGCTTACGCTCACGCGCACGGACACAAACATCGAAGCTTCACGCGCGCAGAAATCCTCAGAGGTTTTCATGTCTTATTGAGTGGCTCAACTTGTTTCGAGGCCCAGATTAAGTACATTATCATCATTGCTAACATAGCATACACAGATTCAGATCATGTGCTACGCGGCAATACGACTGCCTTGGGCATGGCTTCTATACTCCAGCCCGTACTGATCTCAATATCTCTTAATGCAGAGTAACCTTCTCCTAATTTAGGCATTTGGCGGCTGATCGTATGTGACGAACTAATCCACTTTCTTCCTCGAATATTCTCCCAAAAGGCTACCTACTCATACTCGTCCCGCTCGCATAGCACGTGTCTTCTTTCATCCACTACTCTTGCATACTCTAACAATAGCCGTAGCCAGTATAGCTCCATATCTGCCTTACGGAGAACTCGGCGGCTCCAGATGGCCGCGCCCTCGCCAATTGCTGCGGCATGCCTGTCATGATTCTCACAACTCTTCCCTCGACAACATCCGCCGATAAAGAAGCAGAGTTTGTGCCAAAGATCGGGAAGACTGCCGAGGTCAAAGGGGACGAAATGTTTGTACGGTACGAGCCGCGAGCGGTGCCATTCTTCGAAGATAGTGGCCTTCAACACTAGGGAGCCCGTCATGAGCAATGCGCGAAAACGAGCTACAACTGATGTTATGCCACATATCATCATTTGTGAGAACAAGAGTGCCTACCACTGTACGCATTGCCATCAATGTCTGGTAGGTACTTGTACGTGGCCATATCAGCCATAGATGTATGCGCTGCAGTTCGGAAATGGTGATCAAGGTAGCTGCAGGCATCCCCGACGTCCCAGCCTCGCCCAGCGCAGCGCAGTTGTGTAAAAGCACCGTCCAGATGCTCGTGCATCCATTCAAAGTGCGGTGGTTCGGGTGCTGCTTGACTCAGAGAAGCATTGGCCCAGTCGATCTGACCACTGCTAATAGCCTCGAGAAAAGTGGAGTTCATTGACGCAACAAATCGATGGCGATGAGACTTCATCCAGGTCAAGGAATTATGTCTGCCACCGGTATTGGAGCCACGCCAGATAGCCTGCAGAGACGAACATACGAAGTCAGTATATGTCTCATATGCATCTGATACAGCCAAAACTTACCTTGTTGCGCTTCTCTGACCACGCCACACCAATAGACGAGTTGACCAGATGTTCGGGGAGGGTAAAGCTTGGTATATCCACCCAGGTATGGAGATCAGGAACCGTGATCTCGGCGCTCACGTGTCGTATGTGTGTTGCCGAGAAAATAGGAAGAAGGGTAGACGATGTCGACACAAGGTGAGGCGCCAGCATCGTGCCGTGGACAGCAGCCAACTCTGATCGATTGCACACATCCTGAACAGCGGAATCCGAAAGCGGTACGTGATCGGTTGACGCGTTTCTCGGAGGGCAGACAATGCTGCGGAAAGAGTATGGAGGGATTTCTACGTGTAGTCCAAACTTTAGCTAGCGAAGCTTCGCAGATGACGGTACCGCAGCTTACCTCGATTCCACCCTTTCACGACGTCTTCCGTTCTAGCATAAAGTGCTTTGCTGACACCTCCATGAATATGACTTTGCGCGCCTGCTGAGCGTGACACTAATCGACTATGCTGGCGTGCCTGCTGTCGGGCTCTCTCCATGACGTCCCAAGGAACGAGCACACGAGGCGAGGCATGCACACTCACAGCCACGCCGATGTCTGGTAGCAACGGAGCGATTCTTCTGAGCAATCCCAGTTGATCGTCACAGGTCATATCTTCTCTCGGGCAGTTGGCTCGGACTTCTCCACGTCGGAATGAGAAACCCTGGAGCCGTTCGATTTTCTTTTGAAGCCCGGCGAGAGAGACCAGCGAGGCCGCAGCAGTTTGCGTGGCCTGTGCTGTGATGCCCCAGAATGGCTCCAAGTCGTCATAGATTTGATCCCAAAATGGCTCAATTGATATCCCTTTCAACTGTTGGAGGCGCTCATGAAAGGCCCGGAAGCCTGGAGGTGGACATCGTGCGCGTCGGTGCCGATATGATTCTACCGCCTGTGCGTATGTGTGCGTTTCTTGAACCGCCAAAGACTGGAAGTAGTCCTCGGCATCGTTGATTGAACGCTCGAGAGGGTGCAACGGAGTACGCGTTCTTGGATACGTGATAGACACACTATATGTTGCAATCACAAGAAAAGCACACGCCAGAAGTCGGTAGCGTTGCATGGTCGTAGCGAGTACAGGCACGGTAAAACGTTCAGTGTGGAAAGAAGAACATTTAGATTCATTCTCATCCTTTTATCCTTTTATTTAGAACCAAGTCGCCTTGTGCTCGACTCTTCCTTCGTCCACTAGAGCGGCCCGATCATTCCCTGCTCTCTAACCTCTTCCAGCGCTGGAGCTGGTCCATGATCCTTGAACAGATCAACTTAGGTCTCACGCTTCTCCGATCCAGCGTCCGGGGCGGGAGCTGGTCCGTCATCCTTGAACAGATCGATGTAGGTGTCCCGCTTCTCCGACCCAGCGTCCGGCGCGGGAGCTGGCCCATCGTCTTTGAACAGATCGATATAGGTGTCACGCTTCCCCGAATTGGCCCTTTCAGAGCGTTTGTAGGCGCCACCACCCTCTTCCGGCGCAGGAGCTGGCCCGTCATCCTTGAACAGATCCACGTAGGTGTCGCGCTTCTTAACGTCCTTCAATTCTTCTGCATGAGCTTCGACACTTAGTACGGTTACTTTCTTATCCGTGGGTCAGGGAAGGACATACGCGAAGCGGTCGCTGCTGACAAGCCAGCCAACGCGACGAGAAAAATCAAGCTCTTGTGCATCTTGAAAGTTGTGCGTAAACGAGAAGATGATGATCGCTTATGAAGATCCGTCTTGGACAATACAAGGCGTTTGTAGGGCGAAAGATGATTATCCTGTGGGGTTTCTGCTCAGCTATTTGTACATCGCTCTCCACTGGTAAAGACATCGATGATCGAACACTTACCTAGTGATAGAGCTGCTCTTCTGCATCGTGACGCGGCCTGTTGAACTTACGAAAGAGCTGACCGAGCAGCAACGCATATCTTGAAAGCTTAAAGAAATGCCATGAACCTGTACTCACTACGCTGGTTTACCATGAGATGACTATCCCTACTTGATGGGTAGTTTGATAGTAGTCGGCCGAGCCGTGTCTCGATTGAACATGATTGAACATTGATTGTAAGGTTTGTCACTTGCATAGTGCATAGTGAGGCTGCCTATAGGACGTATGGGAGAGTGAGCAGAATAATGACGTATCTCAAGCTTACCGCCGAACTGCATACTGAACCTGAACTGCCGTGTTGTGAGTACCTAGGTACCCCCACTCATTCGTTGGGATCTGTCAAGGTGCCTTCTGACCGATTCGGATACTTCGAAAGTGAAGCTATCGTCTATGACGGAATTATACTGCATTCATTTGGTGGGCGCTAATCGCTCCTATACACTCGATGTAACTAGATAGACTGAAGCTCCGGCTAATCTGACGACACTTCAGACGGGTATACCAGCTTGGTTCGCCTCTCTTCCAGGCTAGCATTGAGCATGAACATCTCACCGCAATGTCTGATATGTCCCTCATCCGATGCGGTCATATGCATCACAGTGCCTGTGAATTGCTGTCGGAACTGCTTCCTCCACGAGAAGATGCAATGCACAACATGTTGCTCGTAGGTAAACCATATGGTCCTCCCGGGCTCGATCAGCATGGATAGCTCGGTCCCGTTGATGAGACGGTACTTGCCATCCATCTCCGTCTGGTATAGCCAGGCGCCCCCCTTGTCAGAACGAGAGGCTGTCGTGAACTCATGCGTGAGATCGAAGTCAATGCATTCCGGTCTCAACCAACATAACTCAATCTCATCGAACTGGCAGTTCCGCGAAATTCCCTCGGCAGTTGTGAATCCGCACAGGCATGGGGCGTCATCCCGTGTCAGCGTTTCGATCGCTTGGGCTCCGACCGCGTAAGCTCCGCATATAGCCAGGGTAGCAACGAGAACGGCAGCAACTGTTCGTAGGATGAGGTTCTTCCGTGGCTTGGATGTGTCCTTGCTGCTCTTTGGGTAGAGTGAGGTAAGGCCGATTCGCTCCTCTATGGTGCTTTCAGATTCGGCTTCCGTGCCCATGCTCGACTGTTGGAGAACAGTCATGAAGCGTTGGAACATTGATCCTGTATACTTATGATTAAGCTGAGTCCTGGCTCCGCATTCGTTCCGTGTGGTTTGGTACCTTTCTTCCTGTTTCACGGGTTAAAAAGAGAGAAGTAGTATGCTTCACGAGCGAGAAGAGTATGGGCGTGTACGTAAAGACTGCACAATAGTAGCGTTTCGCTCCAATGGTGATGTTATTATATTCGGTCGATCTTCTTGTAGTTGGCTTCATCTGACATAATATCCAGGAAACAACAAAGTTTGACTAGAAAACGCGCAGTCTTCGGCTTCGGCTTCGGACGCGGAACTCGACCTTCAACAGTTCTAACGTGGTACCTAGGTAGCTTTCGACAGGCCCGCGGATGTGCCGAAGCAGGACCGTACCTACGCAACCTGCATGCAGTACCCCTCAGTAATGATGCTCCGAAGGCTCCGTCCCGCGATATCGATCGTAAGTATCTCATTGTGATGCTCGTTATCGTTGTTGCCCCCAAAAGCGCGCAGCGGGCTCAGCTATCTCCCGATGACTTTGTATGCTGAAGGCATTGCACGTAATAGATTCTCACACTTTTTCAGTGCTTACCCAGCAATATGAATCACTCATCGCGTAGAGCGCCTCGAAATGAAGACCCCGAAGAGTCAGAGGGGCTTTTGCCATCCACGGTTCCAAGCGGTGAAGCTCGCACCAAATCCGCCACGTCTCTCCCACTGCTTTGCTCATGCTTGAGGTACGCTGTGGTGGCTATCTTGTTCTTCGTCTTAGGCTTGATATCCAATAGTGGATACCTGCGCAATGAACGGGGCTCATCTGGTACGTGGTCTTCCTGTCGCTGAATACGTGACTAACACAGTATGATATAGAGCCATCGTTTTTGGAAGAGATCAATCGCAGCACTCACCCCAACCATACCAACGTTCCTGTCTTCGCAGGAAGTAACGGACCCATCTGGCAGCAACCGCCAAGTCCAGAAGTTGACGCAGCATGGCATGCGCTAACCTCCGGTTATCCATTTTTGATAACAGAGGACGACATGCGCATCCTTGGCAAAGATCCAGACCGCTATATCAGTGTCCCCCAAAGCTTCGGCTACAGCGAAAAGAAGTTCATCACCCGATTCGCGCATCCACATAACATTCACTGCCTCGATCACATCCGGAAGCGCCTTTACCGTGATTATTACGGATACCCAAAGTAAGTTGTAGCCGCGCAAATTGCATGTGAGATATACACTGACTCCGTATCTTCACATTTGTAGCGATACAATGGATTGGATCCATACCGAGCACTGTCTCCACGCCTTGGTGGATCATTTGACGTGCTACGTCCAGTACGATGTTCTCAACTACATGTGGGTCGAAGGAGAGCCAGCGGCGGAACCTGAGCTCACCTACAATCGTCAATGTCAAGATCTGGACGCGCTGCTACGCTGGAGCAAAGATAACCGTGTCGACAAAGATTTGCGAGTATACTATATTCAGCCGGCTGCGGGTGATAAGATCTTTCCCGCAGACGCAGAGTTCCGCAATATCGAAAACGAGTACGACCAGAACAACCCCGACCGACCGTCAATGGAGGATCGACGAAAGACTTACCAGAAAGCCTACCAAGATGCGATAAGCTATTGGGAAACAACAGGAGAAGTGCCGATCGAGGAACGACCTTGGTAGTAAATATTACTTCTATCACTTGAAGATACCGGGGATTTGGTTTCAAAGATCTTGCTATCGGACGAAATTGGGATATGCACTGTTAGTATGGAGGCAGTGTTTCGTCACTTACACAGGTATGGGCACTGTATTCACACTCCCCTACTGTGTGGTATGATCTGTTCAGGCATCACCTCCAGTCAGCCATCAGGAATGCGAGTTTGAGGTGGGTGTGATCGCCAAATTCCGAGTTATCAGCACTGGCGATATCTAGTCAGCTCTGATGTAGCATCCAGCTTGGCCCATTATTTCATCATCACTATGAATTTATTACCTCTACTCTCTCTTTTTGGTGAATGATATTGTAGGCGGACGCAATTTAGTACAAGCTCCGCGTACTGCATGCGGCGCAGGATATGCGGCGTGCGACATGCGTCATGCGTCATGCGGACTACACCGGGTTCCGCCGATTCGACCGCGAAATATCGTGCGCTGCGATCGCGCAAGCTGAAGAGTGTCTGCCCAAGCGAACTTGGGCGTGCGCGCATTGCGAAAGAACCGGACAAGGAGACAAGCCGCTCTTCCAATGCTAGCTATTGTTGCCTGGTGGGCCCGGCCAGTAGCGAGCGAGTTGCATGACGAGTCGGATGCATCTACGGCCTTTACGTCGACGATGGCTATCTCCGGTCTGGCCCAACTTTTCGCCGACTACATGAAATGCGGCCGAGGGTGGGCGCGCATTATTTTCCTCTTTCGCGAATACAATATAGCTCCTATTTAGGCCGCTTGAGTTAGTCTAGACGCGTGTATATATCCAATGTCTCGCCTGTCGCTTCCGTCTCGCATCATACGAAGGCTACTCAGTGAATCGCGAAACTACCAGGTTTGGGGGAAACGTCAGCCCTTTTGGCAAAAACCACACTTTGCTCGGACGCTCAAGATGAGTTCAATAGGTGGTGCAAGTATTGGCGTAGGTCTCTACGCCGTGGTAAGCAATCCAGCACAGATTGCTGCGAAACCCGAGGAAGCCGATGAAAAGAGACATCACCTGAAGAACGGCAAGGGGTTTACGAACCCGTGGGATAGCTATATCGAGTCAAGTGCTTGGGAACTGCAAATCAAGGGTATGCTCTGGTAAGTCCGGCATACGGGAATTTTATGAAGACTTTACAAGTTGCGAACTAACACTCCGTGGTAGGCGCAAGATTACCGGTCAAGCCCACAATCCAGACACCTCGCCACCGACAGTACCAGTCCACAAACCAATGTTCCTTCCCTCCCGAGAGACACCACGACTTCGTGCAACATGGCTCGGTCACGCATGCTACTATATAGAGTTCCCGAGCGGCTTTCGTGTTCTCTTTGACCCGGTCTTTGAAGAATGCTGTGCACCGTTCACTATAAAGAGCCTTAAACGCTACACGCCCCCTCCATGTGAGATTGAAGATCTACCAATTGTCGACGCAGTAGTTATAAGCCACAATCACTACGATCACTTAAGCTACCCAACAATCCAGCGCTTGAAAAAGAAATTCCCCGAGGCGCATTTCTTTGCGCCCCTAGGAAATAAAGAGTGGTTTGAGAAGAGCGGGGTTACGAAAGTCACAGAATTGGATTGGTGGGAGAGTAGAGATGTCAAGTTGGAGGAATTGTCGCAAAAGGGGGGTAGGGCTGGCTCTGTTTCTGTGAGTTCGGTGGACATGGGCAAGACTAGTGGTATTACAGCAACGATTGGTGCGCTGCCTTGTCAGCATATCAGTGCAAGGACGCCCTTCGACAAGGCCAAGACGCTCTGGGCAAGCTGGAGTGTGGAATCTGGCGGAGCGAAGGTCTACTTTGCTGGGTACGTCTGCTTTGTACCACACTCATGACTCATTCTTTATGCTGACCCTACCCAGTGACACAGGCTACCGCACGGTTCCGGCTAGCATTCCAACCACAGAAGACGACTACTCGGCTGCGTACTCGCACTTACCCACTTGCCCGGCTTTCTCACAGATCGGTCAACATCGCGGCCCCTTCGATCTCGGTCTTATCCCTATTGGCGCCTACGAACCTCGTTGGATGTTCAGTAACGTGCATGCTAGCCCCAAAGATGCGGTCAACATCTTCGTGGACACTAAATGCAGGAGAGCGCTAGGCATGCATTGGGGTACTTGGGTGTTGACTGAGGAAGAGGTCATGGCACCGCCAAAGGAGCTGCAAGAGGCTTGTGAGTGGAAGGGGATCAAGGGAGGCAAAGAAGGTTTTGGGGTTTGCGACATCGGGGAGAGTACTGAGTTCGAGTCCGGACAGGCTACAAGAAACTAAATGTGAAAGCGGCCGACACGATCGAGTTGTGGAAAATCCAACTGCGTAGTTTGAAGGACAAGGCGTTGGGTCAGCTGGGTACATGAGTATGCACGTAATGTATATATTTTTGACTTCACGACGTGCATTCTACACCTATATGTTATGATCCGTGTCCACTTTCATGCGTATAATTATCGCAGGGCTTTCCTTCAATATCTACTAAATCTTTGATGGGTTCTACTCAGAACCTCAAGTTTCCTGAGTTTTCTGCAAGATGACCTTGATCATTTCATTCCCTAACTTGGTCGCCTCCGGGAACCTCGGTTCGAAGTATCTCTGGATCTCCTCAAACTTCTCCCGGTAGCCATCAAAGTTACCCAGACTGACACGCGAGCTCCAGTCCCGGGCGGCAAAGGTGAACTCCAGGTCGTCGGCCCGGAACGTGTTGTCGTCGATGGCCGTGTCGATGGCTTCCTCGAGGAGCGTGGGGTTGCAGAAGAGGTACTCTGTAATACCGAGCCACATGCGCGAGGGCTGAATGTGTGTTAGTGGATAAGAATTTGGAAGAGTAATGTAAAGAGGAAAGAAAACTGGGGACCTACAGGCGTCGAACAGATCATGTGGTCGTAGGGGACTATGCCTAGCTTCCACCAGCAGTCTACCATGGCGAGTAGACTGAGATGGTTGTTTTTGAGTTTCTTCTCTGGGATTGTGCCTAAAGCGAATCGGTCAAGCAAGTCATCTCGAAGGAGCAGCTTCTTGCCATCCTCGTTATCGCCAAACACAGCCTTGCGAGCGGTATGCACACGTTCACGGAGCTCGTCCCGCTGCCCTGCGAGCATGAGCTTGAACAGCTCGGTCACAGATTCGGCATACTGCTTAATCTGCTTCTTCGCGTCTGGGTTGAGGATCGCAAGACCTGCATAGACGTGCCACTTATTAGAGTAGATGCGGAGGGTAATGTTCATCTTGACGTTCTCAATACCACCGACGTAGCGCGAGCTGTCCCACGGGAATTGGTTGTTCGCGAACCATGCACCGCCCATACTGAGGAAAGCGGCATGAGTAACAGCTTGTGTGTCCGCTGTAATGCGATCATGCTGCTCGGCGGAAAGATAGACGTGCTTGGACCCGAGGCAGGACATAACATTCTCCACGAACGCAAAGTCAGCATCCGAGGCGCGATACTTGATCAGCACCAGTGGCTGCCCTTTCGGGTCTATGCCTGGCCCGTGGAGGGAGTGCACGGAGACAATGCTGACGTCTTTAGGAAGGTGTTTGTCAAAAGCCTCCATCTCCGGGGCCTTGCATGAGGTCTGACCACCGACTATTGCGCCGACCTTTGTAGCTGAACGTAGGCTCGAGTCAGTAACAACACTGATCCGTGACAGGAGACGGCATACATGGGCCGAAGGTCTTAACAACCGCGTCGATGTTCTTCGCCTCGACGCTGTATATGATGAAGTCGCTGCAACGAGACACAAGATGACCACTTTGCATGATCTCAACTCTGGGCTGGCGCAGTCTCAGTATGCGTTCGTTCATTGATATATAAAAGCGCTATCCTACAAAGTCCCGAAACTCTGCCACTAATGTATCAAACTTGTCTGGAAGATCGCAGGCGTGAACCCTTCAACGAGAGCATGTCAGCGCGTTCGACGGAGAGGAATCAATCTGTGAGCCACTGGTCAGCAAAGTTCGCGCCATAGTAATGAACAATGCGATGTAGTTGGTCGTAGTTCAGAGGTGTATAAAATAAGGTAGCGAGAATTCACATCATGGACGGCAACATGCCCAATTACTGCAAACCAAGACGGCAGCAGTGTGGACATGCGCCGTACTCGAGCCAAATGCACTCACGGTCATCATAACGGGGGAGGGGAGGATGAGAGAGTGAAGGACTTACCATTTGCAGAAGACACTGGAGCTCCGAAGCTATCAGTCGCGAGTGCACTCACTTCCAGCCAGCTGTGCTCAGCCGGCGGGCGTACATCTTGCCCATGTCGCCCATGCCGATAATACCGACGCTCTTGCGATCGTCCATGGCTGCTGTTGTGTCGCACGCTCTTGTGCGTGAGTGAAGTGGAGGAAGTCAGCCCATTGCAAAGCGATGGAGAGACTGCAGGTCGCTTGCGGCAGCCAAAGAAAAGTCAAGTAGGCGGCTTGGCGCGCTAAGCACGGCGTTTTGGTTGCTCCGACACCCGCGAACAAGCGAAATTCCACCTCCCACGACCGAAAGTTCGACTCGATCGCCGACAGTGTTACGAACCGCCAGTCACGTCAAGAAACCCATATTACCGCCAACATGCCTCCCAAGCAGAAGGTTGCCCGCGCTCCCCAGGAGAACATCCAGCTCGGACCCCAGGTCCGCGAGGTGCGTGCCCAGCAGACATTGGAAATCGCGACGACATGGACTGACAGCAGCGCAGGGTGAGCTTGTCTTCGGTGTCGCCCGTATCTTCGCTTCATTCAACGACACCTTCGTCCACATCACCGATCTTTCTGGCCGCGAAACCATCTCCCGTGTCACCGGTGTAAGTGCAGCCATACCGATTGCATGCGACAGCCGCTGACCAGTACGAAAGGGCATGAAGGTCAAGGCCGACCGTGACGAGAGCTCTCCCTACGCCGCCATGTTGGCAGCCCAGGACGTTGCTGCCCGCTGCAAGGGTAAGATGATTGGAATGGATAATCTGGAACGGGAACAGGAGCTAACATATGCAGAACTCGGTATCACCGCTCTCCACGTCAAGATCCGTGCCACCGGTGGTAACGGCACCAAGACCCCCGGCCCCGGTGCCCAGTCCGCCCTCCGCGCTCTTGCCCGTGCTGGTATGCGCATCGGACGTATCGAGGACGTTACTCCCACCCCATCCGACTCCACCAGGAGGAAGGGTGGTCGCCGTGGTCGTCGTCTCTGAGCATGTGCGCAAATCATTGGCTCAGTGGTGGAATATGGCATGGCATGGTATGCACGATTTATGGTTTCATGACCACAATCAAATAAAGTCGCGGGGAACGGCGAATCGCCTGGTCTCCTTGTTGTACTTGGCTTCTCCTACGAGATAGTCAAGCTAAATCAACAGAACCCTTTTTAGTTCGAAAAGAGTTCCCGACAATCAAGTGCTTACTGCTGTGTTGATTATGAGGTTTACACATTACGATTACGACTGCTTTGGGTATTACGTGACGGACAATATCAAATGTCGACGACTTGGATAGGATTGCCCAACTTGCCTGTATTTCCACACGTCTGGGCTGCATTGACCATGATAGTATTTGGACTCTGCCCGCCCCACACGCGATCCCAGAGCAGCTCTCGCATGCCACGGTACGCGACCCTGACTACATTCCACCAAAGCTTTGGATTCAGGATACCTCGCGTCCACTTGGACTTGATTGAAAGCCCTCGCACATATGCATCGTGAGCTCTGTCCCACCAAACTACAGTTTGCCCTGCGCCCCAATGCACATGGCCGAAGACGTGTAGTGTTGGCTTCACTCGCCTGACCTCAGCAAGGAGGTGCTCGCAGCCGATCCCCGTCGGCAGGGACAGATCCAGATGGTATTTCGGCGGTGTATGTGTGACCAATATATCGATATCTTCAGGCACAGTTTCTGACCACGCGTCTCGACCCCTTTCATACTGGAAGGCATGCACGTTCATGTCTCCACACGCTGGTATATGTGGTGCGCCGTAGATTCGTATCCTTCTCTGACCTGGCTCCGCTGCGAGCAAGGGTGTGGTAACATCCATCTGATCGCCGTCTTTAGGCTCAACCTTGATCGTTAGGCTCAACCGTCGGTGCTGCAGGTAGTGTACCCTCTTCCAATTGAGCCTTCCAGTCCTGTGCTGTTCGGACAGCGATGGTCGTGTCCTTGGATCCAGAAAAGTATCATGGTTCCCACTGATCACTACAATCTCTCTATGCGGGAGCGAGCTCAGCCAGTCTATTTGTTTCTGTATTTCCGCCACACTTCCGTCATTCGTCATGTCACCAGCGTGGATGAGCAGATCGCCTTCCGGTACATCTTCCGGTATCAAATTGTGCGTATCGGATATGCAAACGACTCGAATGGGTGGGCGTTGTAGAGGCTTCGGGGTTGAGCGCAGACATGTGATAAGGTGGTATGCATGGTAGAGGAGTAGCTTGACGGGAGCTCGGAAGAAGAGGGCGACGAAGGGCGTTGGCTCGAACTCTGATGCGGGGCGATACCAAGGATTCAGATGCTCGAGAAGCATTTCCGGGGGGCCAGATGCCCGTCGTAGCTCTGGTGACCGGTTCGCCTGTCACTGGTTTGGTGGTGAGCAAATGGGTGGCAGCATGCGACGCGTCGACCAGGGTCCATGTTCGCGTGGCTTCTTAGCGTGGCTGTGCGGGCCGCGGCTTTCCTCGAGGCATACACCCGACAGCCTATCACCTCCAGGTGATGTCTCTGCTGCACCTAACGAGTTCAGCAGAACGCTCCTCAGCCACGATTGCAGCCTTCGTCATGTATCGCAAAACGCCATCGCGCTGTTACCCTTACCGGACCCCACTATTCCAGCCTCCTGGATTGGTCTGGGACGTGATGACGGCCTTCAGCTCGAGGCCACGGGGCAGTGTTGGTTACAGATCAGGTTGCGCGCCTGCATCGCGGCGTGCTATGCTCTCATGTCGCCATGAAGGTTTGGTAGAAATATCGCTGCTTACCCTTGAGTAATTCTCCAAGTCTGCGTTCATCTCATTGCTTTCCTCTCTCGGCGAGACCGTCCAGCTGTCCCTTTCAAAGGTTACTCCGAACAGCCTTGGAGATGGCAGAGTTGGCTATCGGAGGTGTATCCTTCTTCTTCCAGGTGTTTGCGGGATGTATCCAAGGTTGGCATACCCATTGACCTACGCCTGAAGATGCATTAATAATCTTGATTAGGTTACGAACTGATCGCAGATGCTTGTCATCTTCGCAAAGACTGCCAAGCGCTTCTGGTCAACTTCAAAGTGGAAGAACATCGACTTCTCAACTGGGCAAAGCTTGTACAGCTCGATTATCGAGACGACAAACTGGTCCTGAATCACATGTCGAAAGGCCTCATTATCAACATCATGGAGCAACAACAAAAGCTTCTCTTCTCATTCGGCCGACTAGACAAGAAGTACGAGAGACTTACAGAGCCTCTCCTAGAGGAAGCAGCTGAAGCATTCGTCCTACAAAATTTTGATCGCCTGATCGAAGACGATACCAACGGCTCTGGTGAAGGGAATGCAAGGTCTGTCCGGTTCCCGCCTACTGACGAGCTGGTAAAAATGTCCCTCAAATTCGTGCAACAGTTCAAGGATGTACCAAAGAGGCTCAAATGGGCTGTATTCGATCACCTCAAGATGGAGAAGCTAATCGCGAGACTGGCCGACTTCAACGACAAGATGCACGAAGCGCTCGACAAAGCTCAAGTAGACCTGCTCATCGATATGCAGACGCGTACAAATGACCAAATAGTCTTGCTGAACAGGACGATGTCGCACATGGTTCAAATCTACCAATCCCAGCAATCAGAACAGATTGGCTTTCGAAGGGCTTATTCACTGATAGAGATGGAAGATTCCGAATACGATGGTATGATGGACAGTGGTGCCGTCGCAGCTCGTGGTGCCGCCCGTCAGCCTCTTGCTGCTTTAGCCCAGCAAAACTTCATTCACCTTGCTATCGAAGACTCTCACGAAGATCTTACCACAAGCTATGCAGAAAAGATCAACATGCCAGATCTTCCAAAGGACATTCGTGATACCCAGCTCCAGTACATGGACATACGCCCTAAGCTAGGCAGTCAATTTCCCCTGGAGATTGATGAAGGTGTACGCACGGAGGCATACTACAAGAACACACCTGTGTGGATAGAATGGAAATCACCCGATACCACGGGTCCCATGCAGCAGGATGGTGCTGTGGACGCCAAGATCCACGCTCGCGTCAAGAAACTGGCCGCCTTACTCAGTAAGCACAACAGAACAGTCCGGTTTAGAGCACCCTTCTGCCGAGGCTACTTTATCGACGAGGACGAAGGACGTTTCGGGCTAGTCTTCGAAAAGCCCGCGTCCGTCCCGGCGGACACTGAACCGACATCTCTACACGCACTCATCGCAAACCCCGAGAACGATATACCTTCGCTCACTGACCGTATCACACTCATGAGACTTCTTACCGAGACAGTTGAACGTCTCCATGCGGTGGATTGGCTTCACAAGGGCCTACGCTCGGCCAACATCCTCCTCTTTCCGAAGAAGGGAGGAAGAGTTGAAAACGGTCAGGTCACGCACGGCGAGGTCAACTACGCGGATCCTCTGATTAGTGGTTTCGACTATTCTCGTCCGGCAACCAGCGATGATATGACTGAACGTCCTCTTGACAATCCCGCTGCAGACATCTATCGTCATCCGTCTGTACAGCATAGAGGAAACCGCGAAGATGCCGGCGGTCGTGAGTCTTACAAGAAGTCTTTCGACCTTTACTCGCTCGGTATCGTACTGCTGGAGATCGCTTACTGGAAAACCATTGACCGGATTCTGTCTATCGATCTTGAAAAGGCGCGGCCTAAGCATACGTGGGCTGTGGAGAAAAGGTTACTACAGACGGAACCACAACATCTACGGGGCGTGAAGAGTTATCTAGGTAACACGGTGGAGGGTGTTATCAGGGCTTGTTTGCAAGGGCCTACCGCGTTTGATCTCGATGAGAATGCAGATGAGAAGAGAGAGGTTGTTGCTGCCCAGTTACAGGAGGCATTTGGAGAAAAGGTCGTGAAGAAGTTGGCGTGTATGAAGGGCCTTTAGGCATTTTCTCTCTCATTGATCGCTAGGACACCATGAACATATCTGACCCATGCTTGTTACGTCTATGCCCCATCATGAAATGATGTGAATGCGCTTGATCATACATGTGCTCCGGTGTGCTTGTCTCTTGTCGCTGTTGTAGTCAACATGTGAAGCTAGACTGGCATGTTCGGCGGCGAGATGCACAGTACTCTTTGGGACCTGCAACAAACAAGGTTCTGGTTTAGGGGTTGAGAGTTGTCATTGTATCGAAGAGGATCCTCCAATGCCGCTATTTCATCCATCGTCAATCATATATATGTCCATGAGCAGTCGCCCATGATGCCATCCATCGCTCCGCAACTCGGTTATGCAAATATCCCTAAAGTACAAACAGGCTCGAATCGAAGGCGCTTTACATTCCGTGCTTCTTCAGGTACTCGCCGAGCTCAACTACGGAGTTGAAGGCGTTGGGAGTCTGGATGGTGTCAGGGTGGTGGGCGATGATAACGGCTTGGGTAGTCTTGAAAGCGACGATGCCCTCTTTTCCCTGGGGTTGTTGTCAGTGCTTGAACACTTCATGGTGGGCAATGTCTGGCACCTACCTTCTTCGCCTTGAGCGAGTCGTCGCTTGCCTCGATGGTCATGTACTTGACACCGTTGACCTTGACACCTTCCGAGATGACCTTCTTGGGCTCTGACTTGTCGTTGAAGGATTTGGCGATGGCAGCCCTTTCCTCGGCGGACAGCTGTAATTGGTCAACACCAATCTATTGTTTATGCGCCACCGGAGCTTTGATTCTGGAGTGCTCGCTGTGTCCGGCGCGTATTGTATCGGACGACTTACCGAGAAGTCGGCGGAGGCGGCCCAGGCAGTCGAGCCCTCGATGTCGCAGATGAGGGCCTTGTCGATGTTACCAGTGCCGACGAGGCTGTGATAACGTTAGTCATGGACAGGTGATAGATTGGGAGGCTTGATGTACCTGGTGTCAACGTATTCTGCGCCCAAAGTTAGCCAGGACCTTCCAAACTCGACGCCTCGAGCTGCTCACCTTGCCAGGACATGGTTGCGGAGGGTTGATGTGCGTGCTGTGGAAGCTTGTGGTGATGGGAAGATGAAGAGGGATGCGGCGAAGTAGATGCAGGTACTTTTGACTAAGCAGAGCAAGAGGGTAAATGCGGTGAGGGTGTTAAAGGCTGCGTTGTTGGGCTAAAGTTGCGATTTGATAGTGGGGCTGTTTTGACCCCGCCTCTCGCGATGAAATCTAACGGACGCAATTCACTCCTCCAATTCCAGCACGCAAACCTCTGAGCTTCTAATCTGACGACCCGTCACGCGTCCTCCTTGCGCTATCATGCAGCTGCTTACTTGGTGGTGGTCACCACTGCCCTCGATGCCTAACGCGACGGCACTGAGCGCGCCGCATTTAGCTATGCCCACCGCGATACCCGCCTAGTATCCGCCGCGCTCTGGGGTCGAGGACGGATAGCGGGTCAGAGTGCTGGCAATTCAGCAGTCGCTCCAACAGTCACGCAAGAGCGGACACTGGAACCGTCCATGTCCAGGTCCTTCACACGTCTACTATTTAACCCGTCTCTGGCCTGTTTGGAAGCAAACGTTGAAATTGCAGACATGGCAAATCGAGCTCCGCGGCAGATATGAAAACGTATTAGCTGGAGTTTGAGGGACACCTTGTGCAATTTGTACAAGCTGGCGATTCAATTCTCTTCCCACATTGCCGATCTATTCCCTGTCGTGGCCCTTGACTATGTGATGGCTGTTTGCGAACACGTCCCGCTAGTCACGTGCCAGCGCTAAGACGAGCTTGAAGCTTGGAGCTACCATCCAAAAGTTACGTCGCGTTAGACATGACCAACAAAGTAACTACAAGCCCAACCACCGAGTGTACATTGAAGAGCACGCAATAGGACACTGCTACGACTGAAATTGCGCGACAGCCAAGACATGCCATCTCGTTCTCCATCTCCCGCACGCTCGCGCACGCGCAGCCCTTCTCGCGACCCGTCGCACACAACATCACCCAGCCGCCCTCGGTCAGCGCAGTCAGGCTCGCCGCGCCGCTCCGTCACCCCTCGCTCGCCTACACGGTCTCGTTCAATTACTCGATCGCGCTCGCCGACATCACCGTCTCCACGGCGCAATGGGCGACGGAGCTACACACCAGAAAGCAGATCGCGCTCGAGAGGTAGAAGTTATTCCCGGAGTTTGACTCCAAGAGATCGGTCGCCAGCACCTAGAAGCGCAAAGGTAAGCATACTCCCTGTGCTAGACGCAACTTTCAGAGCTGCCTTGCCTCAGCCTTCCTGCACCAGCACGCTGACCCACCAACAGATCGTAGTTGAAGCCTTGACCAGGAACGTCAAAGAAGACCACGTGCGGGAGATATTCGGAAGGTACGGTGTCATCAAGGAACTCACCATGCCCATGAACCCCACCTGTATGTTTCGCCCTACCTCCCCACAGAGCAGGACTGACTATTGAACAGTCAACATCAATCGCGGCATAGCCTACATTCTCTACGAGGAGATCGACGACGCCGAACGCGCAATCGCGAAGATGCACGACGCACAATTAGATGGAGCCAAGATCCAAGTTTCCATTGTCCTTCCCCGCCGTCGTTTCTCACAGACACCTCCGCCCGCGCGTAGAGGCCCGCCGCCAAGCGACGACTACGAAGGTGGCTATGGGCGCGGTGGACGGGGACCGAGGGGCGGAGGCCCACCTGGCGCGTACAGGCCACCACCTATGGATGGCCGTTATCGATCTCCACCGCGTCGAATGTCGCCCGATCGAGGACACTGGGGTCGGGGCAGAGGCGGAGGCGGTCGTGGTGGACGAGGGGCCTACGGAGGACGGCCACGGTCGTACACACGTTCTCGCAGCCGGTCACCACGACGAAGCCTATCGCGCTCTTCTTACAGTCGCTCGCCATCCAGAACACCACCAAGACGAAGTGGGGGAGGAGGCTATGGCAGGCGGGACAGTCCACCAAGGAGGGGAGGTCGCGCGGGTGCAGGCGGCGGAAGGAGGAGTCCAAGCTATAGCTCCTATGGCAGCGACCGGAGTCGAAGCAGAGACCGCAGATGAGAGACGCAAGATTGTCTTCATTGTCGGCTGGAAAAGCCTAGAGGCATCCGCACAGTCAAGTAGGAGCTCGGTTGGACTATTCGGTTGGCCAGACCAATGGTATACATTAATTGAAATCGGTCGCAGGCTCAGTTGGGCGAAGTCCATCTTGCCTTGAAAGAAGTTTCCTACATGCCCACGCGTCTTCGCAATCAATCAGGTCATCTTCAACTGAAATCCTGCTCCCTTCTCTTCTTCCTCTCTGCCCTTGAAAATACTACTAAAATCCACGTTGCCCTGCATGCCGGGCGCCTCTCCTCTCTTTGGCGCATTCGGACTCTTCTTCCTTCTCCTCTCCTGCCCGGCCTTGCTTGGAAACGTGGGAAACATCTCGGTCGGTTTCGGCTTGGGTTGCTCTCTGAAGTAAGGATGCTCCAGTACTTCTTTCGCTGTAGGCCTATGGTCTGGATTCAGGGATAGCAACGAAGAGAGGAGTTCAATGCCAGACGCTGTCAAGAAGGGAAATTTTGCACGGTTGAAGCCTGGGGCGTTGCGGTGGTCGCGCGGTAGCTTTAGTGATTTGGAGTTGGGCAGGCGGTAGAATTGTGGCCAAGACTTCTCTGATGGGAGACCACAAAGGGAGAAGATGAGTGAGAGCTCGTCGACCTCGTTCTTGCCTTGTAGTAACGGCTCTTTTGCAAGCAGTTCGCCGAATATACAGCCTACGCTCCACATGTCGACTTCCGTCCCGTAATCTCGAGTCCCTAGTAGAAGTTCAGGCGCACGATACCATAGCGTGACGACCAGTTGTGTGAGGGGTGCGTTCGCCGGCGGGATGTATCGTGCCATACCAAAGTCTGCAAGCTTCAGCTGGCCACGGTTGTTGAGTAGGATGTTTGATGTCTTGAGATCGCGGTGCATGATGAAGTTCTCATGCAGATAGCCGACGCCAGAGACCAACTGTCGTAACAATGTCTTGACTTCACTTGCCATGAATGGCTCACTCATGTCTTCTTGTAATGTCTTGAGGTCATGTTCGAGGAAGTCCATGACCAGGATACATTCTTGCGGGTCGTCACCAGATAGAACCTCCAGAAGATCAACGACATTGGCATGTCTGCAGCGTTGCAGGATGGAGATTTCTCGTAGTGCGGTGATAGGGAAACCGTCTTGGTTGTAGTCCATTTTGACTTTCTTGTGGGCGACCACGGAGCCTGTAGTGATGTCGCGCGCTCGTGAGACCCAGCCGTATGAGCCTTCTTCGATCTGATTGAGGGTCTCGAAGTTGGAAATATGTCGACAAGGGTTCCAAGCTCCGCCTTGAAATCGCAGGAGCTTCCTCTCGGTCTCTTCTTCTTTGGGCTTTGCGGCTCCCTCGTCATCGTCGCCTGTTGATAATCTCCTGCGCTTTGCAGGTCTCGATTCCGCCTCTTGCGTTGTTCGTGAGGCTGCTTCCGCCTCTTGATGTTTCTGAAGCTTCAGGCGTTTCTTCTCTTCTTTCTCTTTCTTCCGACGCGCTTCCTCGGCTTTGTCTGCTTCATCATTTGCCCATCGTGATGCCATAGCTCTTTCTCTTTCCTTTCTGACCAAGAGACCGACTTCCACTATTATCTATGTGCAAAGGCGTGTATTGAGGTTAAGTTGGTTTGGTTTTCCCAGAAGGACCCGGTTGGTGTGTTTCCGTGTAGATGGCGCTGGTTGGACGACCGATAGCACGTGTGAATCGTTAAATGGTGGTCATAGCTTCGTTCACGTTGGCATTCCGATCTAAACTTTCTGTAGTTCCGAACGCGCCAACGTCATGGAGCTTCGATAAACAAGACCGACATGAGGACCAAACCTCTGAACCTACTGCGGACAGCGACACAGTGTTGTCGATCGGTACCACGACAAACGTCGATCCGAATAACGAAATGTGCCTCCCGGTGGTCGTCGACTTCTGCCTCTACATCTTCCGACTCGGAACGACAATGGTCGACGCCGCTGGCGAAGACGCTGGCTGAAGCTATTACAGTATGAGTCCCCTTCCCAGTATGAAAGCAAGTCTAACATTAGCTTCAGACGACAGGTCCAATCTCGGTAGCGGCGTATATGCGACAATGCCTCACTCACCCCGATGGCGGTTACTACACAAGACAAACATCGACTGGACAGGATCAATTTGGCACAAAGGGTGACTTTGTGACATCGCCAGAGATCAGCCAGGTATTTGGCGAGCTTATTGGTATATGGCTATACGCAGAGTGGCTTGCCCAAGGAAGGAAAGACAAGGTGCAGATAATCGAGGTTGGGCCCGGACGAGGAACGCTAATGGACGATGTACTGAGGGTATGGTGCTCTGCCAATAGTAGAGAATGCGAAGCATGCTTACAGGATGGCAGACCATATCTAGTTTCAAGGCTTTCACAAATAGCATCGAGGCTATTTATCTCATCGAAGCATCACCTTACCTACAGAAACAGCAAGCAAAGTTGCTCTCTGACACCGATGATCTGAAGAAGAGCGACATTGGTCTAACCGCACAATGCAAGTACATGCCTTCCTGCAGGATCGAGTGGTGCGAAGACATCAGGCTGGTGCCAAAAGGTACGCGCTCGACTCTACTCTCTTCATCAACAGCGTACTGACAACATACACAGAGCATACGGCAGCGCCTTTCATACTAGCCCACGAGTTCTTTGATGCACTTCCAATCCACGTCTTCCAGAATATCTCTCAATCTTCGGTGCCTGCTTCATCGACCATCATCACGCCAACCGGCCCTATCAAACCCAAGCACGGCGTGACAACCCCCAAGAATACCTGGCATGAGCTGGTTGTGTCGCCAACTTCGCCGTACTCGGATATGGGCGCAAGTGGCTCTTCGCCAAAGAAAGAGGATGAAAAATTGGACTTCGAATTGACCGTTTCGAAGACACCGACGCCACACTCCTTATACCTGCCGAAGTTGTCTGATCGCTACAAGAAGCTAGAGAATACTCCAGATGCGATCATCGAGATCTCGCCTGAATCTTTTGCCTACGTATCTGACTTCGCTGTACGGATAGGCGGCAGCGCTCCTAAGCCTAGCAACACCTCAGCATCCCATACTCCCTCGAGCAGAAGTGCTCCTGTTGAGGAAAGCTTCGTAAAAGCGCAGCCGTCTGGTGCAGCTTTGATCTTGGATTATGGACCTTTGGATACTATCCCAGCGAACACTCTCCGGGGCATTCGCTCACATACCACTGTCTCGCCTTTTGCATCGCCCGGTCTGGTAGATCTCTCGGCTGATGTGGACTTTCTCGCCCTTGCAGATGCAGCTTTAGATGCTTCTCCGGGTGTTGAGGTTCACGGACCCGTTGAACAGTCTTTCTTTTTATCGACAATGGGCATTAAGGAGCGCGCTGATCGCTTACTTAAGGCTGCTAAGGATGAAGATACGCGAAGACGCTTGGAAACAGGCTGGAAGCGACTTGTCGATAGAGGGCCAAACGGCATGGGTAAAACCTACAAAGCTATGGCTATCGTGCCCTATAAGAAGCAAGGCCCAGTCCGACGGCCGATCGGGTTTGGCGGAGACATCGTTGGCTGAACAATATGATAGCTACCAAATCAACAGTTTTAGCCTTGGACATTAGGTGATGGGCGTCTGATGACTAAATACGATATGTATTCCCATACTGCGTGCCGCAGTTGATTGCATCCGATTGATCGATCGAATTTCTTCAATGTTAATTCCACTCGACTGGCTCTCACGATGGAATGATACTTCGCATAGCCATCCTACCATGATTGATGCGCGATACTTCCATCACCGGTACCCTACGTAAGAGAAAGACCATCCTATGGGTACACTCATCTTGCAAGGAAGTCTTGGTGTCTTTGAAGGACAGCATTGAGGAGAGGATTCCTTCTGATCGTAGAAGGAAAGAACAACGTCACGGATGAATGGACGAGTGCTCTGCACATCAATGATGTTAAGACAATTTACTCCTGAAAACTCCAAAAGAATAGAGTTTAAATCGTATAAGGGGGCATAAAAAGGGAAGAATCTACATAAAAAACATACTAATAAAAACCGTTAGAACACACACTGGCATCGCTAGCCCTCCGACGTCTTCCCTTGCCCAATATCATACCCACATTCAGTGCACATCCCTGAGGCACCTCGTCATCTTCAGGCTCACCCCGCTCCCAGTCCTCAATCTCATCTTCAGCAAGTTCTTCATCGATCACGTCGAAACGCGCAGAATTGAATCCTGCGTCCCCGAAAGCAGAATACATAGACTGGCGCTGCGGCTTCGGGAAGTCAGAAGCGTTGTCATCCTCATATTCAGCGAACGGTTCGGGGTCAGGATGGCTAGATAGAAGCTGTCTGTACTTCTCCACGCGCTCTTCTTGCGTCTCAATGTGGTCATAGATCGGGTTGTCGAGAGGATCTATGTATCCCGTGCGAGAGGATGGGCCGCCGGTGTAAGACGCGATCGTGTGCGCTGTGGTTGCGAGTGATCGGCGGGAGATCATTGAAGCGGGAGGATTGAGGAAAGAGTTCTCCTGCCTGGTAGAACCCGCGACTGACGGTTGTGGCACAGGCCTGCGTCTGATCTGTAATGGAGCTGGACGGTCGTCCGAATTGTGGTGCCGAGGAAGGCGAACGGTAGGGAGGCTCATGGTATCATCAGGCGTGATAGTCCTTTCTGGATTATGCGAAGCCATTGACTCGTTATAATGCCTTGACGCGTTTGTCGATGAGCGAGAAGGTATGAGTCCAGGCTGGTTTCGCAAAGCCGGATGGACATCTTCTTGGTTGTGAGGAATAGTGTATACCCGCTTACGCATACCGGGCATCTCAAAACCAAGATCCTCGGCCTGTGACTTGAGCTTAGTGTCTGGAGGCCGGGGATTAGGACCCAGTTTGGGGTCGAACAGGCTCGGAGCTGATAGTTCTTGTTCTCGCCGCCGTCTTACAGTTCTGGTCGAGGCAGAACGGCTAAAAGTGCGCTGATGAGCAGGGACGGTAGATGAACCTAAACTTTGACAGGGCATCGGACCGACGGGAGTTTTCTGCGTTCTCGTGCGGCTATGTGCACGAAGGTGGCGATGTTGCTCATGCTTCCACTGAGCCCGAAGATGTTTGAGATCCATGCCCAGATCGCATGCTCTTAACATATTGCTTTCTCCACTCGCTTTCCTGACCCAGTAACGCACGAATCGAAGACGTTTGCTCTTAGTGCTGTCCCAGCCAGCAACGCTACGGATCGCATCCATTGTCGTGAACGCCTTGCTGTTGAAGCGACCGACCATACCGGCGAACAGAGCAAAAAGAACATCCGAATCTGATCCCATCCGCGCCATCATACAAGCCGGGCATTGGTCTGCCTGATAGTGCCACTTCGATCCGCACTGAATCGGCTCATGACCAGGGGGAGCGGAAGCACCCGAACTAAAGTTGGGTTGCCACATCCGTAGCACAGGTTCTAGTTGACGGACTTTCAACTTCTGATCCGTCGTTAGAAGGCCGTGGGTCATTACAAGTGGATAGAGAAACTTGCCGATGGCGCCATCGTATTCGTGACGGATCCATTTGAAGATGTCATTGACAAGATTTTGGTTTAGGCCCTTGTGTGTCGTACACAGGTTCGTTGAGCCGAAAGAGAGCCGCGAAGCGCGTAGCCGGCTAGGAAGCCGTTGTATAGCTTCCTTGGTATGTTTACGATATAGCGCTTCCTTGCGCTCATCGCGCAAATCATTGGGAGTAGGGACATGCCGAAAAATACGGACAAGTCTCTTCATGTCGCTGTTGTGGAGCCGGCGAGTCTCTATCCTGTATAGGAATGAAGGCATCGTGAAATGTTGTGAGATGTCTTTGTGGTTGTAATGCATTGTGGGTGCCTTGTGATAGTGGTTGTGTTTGGTCTGTTGTAAACATGGAGGAATGTGGAGAGGTTAAGAACACGCACGGGACGTTTGCAATGAGACAGAGTGGTTTCATGATGCAGCGTATATTGCGAGTGATAGGGCGCGGCTGTGTAGTCTGTGAAAGTTATCAGTGTGTACATATCATAGGACAAGCGAAAGAGGAAGAAACAACTCGAACTCAATAAAGTATCAGTAGAGATACCTGCTCATATGATCTGTTGGAGTGAAAGACAGTATCGGTGAGACACTCATCAGTAAAGCAGCTAAGGCTGATTGGCACCAACGATCGAAACAGCGCAACGTGAAAAGCCGTCGCTAACGAGCGAAGGTTGTAGTATTTTGAATGGGAACTCAAATTCGATGTAATCCAACCGTCCAGCAAACGCCGTCCCAGAATCGTACAGTCCGTGAATGAATGACGACAAGATACAGGCCGTATTTCAGAAATAGCAGGAGAATATGCACCAGTGATGCAATGCAGCGGATGTGATAGAACCATCCGGAAGTTATACACCCGAGACTATACATTACCTGCTGCAACAGCATGATGTTTGTTTACACATAAAAAAAAAGTACAGATTAATGTGAGCTTTCCAACCCCAGAACATTGGCTCTCCTGCCGTGCAGGTTTTGATTGACCTTGTTCGTCAAATCTTTGAAATTTGTGCCAGCCGTTGATGAGATGCTGCTAGCCTTCTTGCGCGAGATGCGAGGTGTCGATGCGCCTTGTGGCACTACACCCTCGTCCTGTGTCAGGCCCGAGGCTGCCGCGGTCGACATGGGTACTGCGGTAGCTTCGTTCTCTTTTTCTTGGTCGACCTTCTGCTGTGCTGTAAGACGAGCACGCTCATATTTGGCAGTCACATCGCCTTTGTACATTGTCCCGCCAAGTCGGTCGAGGTATACGAAGAAGGGTTGCGAAAAGTTTGTCTTGATACCCCAGCTCTGGTGATGAATGTCGTGGTAAGCGGCATTGTTGGGGAAGATCCAGTGGATAGGGTCGTAGGGGAATGCGTAACCGCCGTGATCAAGCACTGTCTTGATGGTAGAGCCAGTGAAGAACCACATCGACTGTCGCATTGTCATGCCGGTAAGCAGATAGCTCAAGCCAGCACCCAGAGTATCGAGCGCGAATCCTTCGATCGGGTGGTTGTACAGAGCGCCGTAGGCATATGGCACATAGAGACGGTGATGCCGCGAATGGAACGTTACTATGTGGGTTAACAGAAGTCGAAGAGCATGACACGGGTTGGAACTTACCATATAACCACCTGTTCAGGTGCATGGCACGGTGCAGCATGTACTCCCACGCGTCCATGATGACTATGGCAGCACTGAATTGGATGGCAGGTATGGCATACCAGTACGCAAAGCTAGCCACGGCCATTTCCCAAGAAGCAAAGGCGGGGACGAGAGTCTGCTCGCCCGCAACTGTCGCTGTCTGCAGCAGCGCGGGGTATTTGCCACCGATGACAACGGAAGAAAGTATCGGTTGCGAGGTAGCGACCTTGGAAGCCAGCGCGATCGGGTTGACGCCTACCGCGGACAAGACGTAAGGAACCGCGCGCTGGGCAAGTCTGAGCTTCTGCGCGTACCAGGCCACATCGTACTCGGCTTTGCCGGTTGTCGGCGCCTCGTCGATTAAAGAAAGGCTGAAGGATGCGAGAATCTGAATGACTTGCTGGAGTATGACGTCGCGCAGCACTTCGTAGCGTGAAACATGGTTGCGCTTCAGAACCTCTGCTGGCGTGTGCAGCCGATACTGCGGGAAGAAGTCGTACACGTCAATGACGTGGAAAACCAGAGAGACGACCCAGTATCCGACGACAGGCAGTGCGGCTTGTATGAATGCATCGGAGACCCACGATGTGAGAGGCTGAAGGGGCTCGAGGGTGTATTCGGGAAGCGGCGGGAGGTCGTAGGACGTGATGTTTGCGCTCGCCATGGTGCGGCAGCGGTGCGCTAGGAGAGCGGATTATCGATTACAACTGTATGTATGCGAGACTGAGGAGTTGCGCAGCGCAGCCGGCGAAGACGTCGAAGGTGCAGCGTGCTCGAGGCGAGATCGCGGTGCTGGGCCAGCTATGGGGTGACAAAGACGGAGCCGGAAGCCGCGGACCAAGGAAATTAGGGAGAAGGCGCGATGCGACGGACGAGTGATGTCGGTATTCGTGCTGGAGGGCGGATGGCGCGCAATTGACCAGTCGAGCTCAGAAAGGAGAGGCTGAGGTGGGCGGAGCGAGGGTTGGGTGAAAGTCGTGTGAGAGTGGTGCAGCAGCGTGCCTGTGACAGCACCAAGGCATGACGGGGGTTTACGATATACGCGCGCATCATGACATTTCGCCGCCGGGCGCCCGGGCGGGCCTAGTCGCTCAGCCACTTCCACTTCCACCCCTTGCGGTTAGCGCGCTTTTCACACCCAATTTTCGACCCCACCAATTTCTCCTTCACGCCTACAGGCCAGCGCTTCTTTTCCGCTCCAGTCTTCAACCCCTCGCCTGCCCGCCCCGACCAACCTACACTCTTTCTACACATCCCCAGACCCTACTTCCCTCTACCGCCAACATGATCATTTTCAAGGTACGTTGTGTCTGCGCTGGGTCGCTCTTGCCTGCGCCCTACCCCGCCTTCCCTGCTGCACTTGATGCTGCTTTGCGCATGCAGAGAGCCTCTTGTCCTCTCCACTAGTCGCGTAGTACTGACTTCTTCAAGGACATCATCACCGGTGACGAGATCATCTCCGACTCCTACAACCTCAAGGAGATCGACGGCGTCGCCTACGAGGCCGACTGCACCAAGATCACTGTCGGAGGAGAATCATTCGGTGGGTACTGCCATGCGAGATGAAGATCTGGCAGGCTAACGACGTGTAGACACCGGTGCCAATGCTTCCGCTGAGGAGCAAGAGGAGGGAGCCGACGACCAGAAGGAGACCAAGATCGACGTCGTCTACTCTTTCCGCCTGAACGAGACCGGCTTCGACAAGAAGGGCTACCTCACATACCTCAAGGGTAAGAACGCTAGGGCAAAATCTTCCAGACCCAGGACTAACGATAGACAGGTTACATGAAGTCAGTCAAGGAGGCCCTCAAGAACAAGGGCGCCGACGAGGCTACAATCAAGGACTTTGAGAGCAAGGCCTCCGGTTTCGCCAAGAAGATCATCGGCAACTTCAAGGACTACGAGTTCTACACTGGCGAGTCCATGAACCCCGACGGTATGATCGTCCTCCTCAACTACCGCGAAGACGGTGTCACACCCTACGTTACCGTCTGGAAGCACGGTCTCGAGGAGATGAAGGTCTAAGTCCAAGAGGACTTGGCTATGGGAAAGACGAGGCTTGGTTCACGGTTCATTGAATTCACGATTACCTATTGCATGTTTGGGAAATATCCGCCATAGTGCGAAAAGCGGAATGGCACAAATCTAGACGATCTTAAGGAGCCGTACACGATACAGCATATTATTCTCTACCCATGCTACAACCTGCCCTCTAACACCTGTGATGGGGCTTGGTGGAGGCGACTATAAATGGTGAAATGTCGAGTATCAAGCAAGTCTCGCGGCGATGTCAGAATCAGTATCGGACCATATCCAGGGCTGGCACTTGAAATTTCGCCTAACTCAGCTTGGTGAAACATCTCATCGCGTGACCACGCGATACCGCGTATGTGCACAGACCATAGGTTTCATCACCTAGCAACAGCAGCCTCAGGCACACATTTAGCAATTCTCAGCCTTCCGCGACTCACCCCGCTATATCATTACGTCCTGAACCTATTCATTCTTCTTTTTTGTCGCCGCGATCCTGCCAATCTTACTGTCGCATGAAGTCCAAGGTACGAAGGAACATTGTTGCCCCGCGTCATGACGGGTAACGGTGGTCCCGCCGTTTCGCTACCGGCAACTCCGCGTCACCGCTCTGGAGCAGCCCTCAACGAGCTGATTTGCTCGCTGGAAAGACAGTGGAACATCGGTCTTAGGCTTCGTGGTAATGGATGGTCACCAAACAAAGCCATCCCGAGCGATGCGGCCGACAAGGTCAATGCGCTTATCCAATTCCTCTTCTACAGCGCACCGACGGCGCTCGAAGAGGCGATTGAACAATTCAAGGGAGACGCCCCTATTTTGACGCGTGAGGAGCGCTTGGAAAAGCTTCGTGAGATTCTGTCCCGTGTTAAAAAGGGTGAATTGGAGTCGAAGGGCAGGACGCCGAGGAATGAGCCGCCTAAAGTGCGGGCGACACCCTTTAGTGGTAAGTACAAAATTGCTTTTTAAGTTTCCTTCAGAGTTAGCGCGTACATTTCTTCCATGACGGTAGACTATATCCGTGCATGATGGGGAACCCATATATCTTGCGGACTCTGTGATAGAGATGGTCCACGCTGTGCCTTCCTCGGATTGTAATTGCTTCGTGGGTCGGACTGTCAGCATGAAGCTATTCCGTCATCATTTCAGCTGCCATTCTTGATGCATATCAACGAATGCATATTGTTTGCATAGATAGTAAATCAGTCAGACTGTCGCTCATCGGGACTGGACTGGGAGAATGTCTTTGCAATAGCTAATAAAAAGACAGGGGTCAAGCCTACCTCGCAAGTAACAACTAGCTTGCATGACGTTCAGCAAGACGAACATGAGTCTTGTGCTATTGCTGATCCAGGATCCCCCACAGACGTTGACACCGACGATGAGACGGATCAAAAATACGAAACACCGCGATCACCGTCCCGGTCGCCGTCACCATCACCCTCTCCATCCACTAGGTTAGGACAGACGCTCTTTCAGGCAAGTAACCATGCCTCTTTACATGTCTCTAAGAAACGGCCATCTGAAAGCTCCAACCATTCCGAGAACTCGCAGAAATTGACCAAAACCTCGAAAGGGAAACAGGCTGTCAAATCTTTCAACTCTTCGCCGATTCCACCACCGCAATTTGACTTCAAGAAGCCAACACTCGATATGGCTCGGTCTTTCCAACCCGTAAATTCCGTTTCATCTTCGGTCAACACCTCCTTCAACAACACCACATTCTCCTCCCAAGAGACAGCAAATACAACAAACACTTCATTCACCTCGTATGATGGCGCCATCGAGTTACAGGAGAACAGGTTCTCTAGGCCCCAATTGAAAAGGACGAGTTCGACTACAATCGGTTCTCTGGATGATGTGGAGCTCGACCAGGCTATGTTGTATCCCGGGAGCGAAGTGCGTGAGAAAGATATACAGCAAGACCTGAACGAACACTTTTCTCAAGGGAGTAGCGGTCAGAACAGATCTACTTATGGGTCTGTTGATGAGACTGGTCTTCTTGAAGCATCTTTCGAGGTTGAAGAGAAGGAGACCGACCCGCGAGTAATTCCACATGACAAGATGGAAAGTTCCAGACCACCCGCCGTTGTTGACAATCGCCATGGGCAATCCCATGCATCATCGACGCCACGGTTTCCATCCAACGGAGTTCCAAACGGTCAAGAGAAATCGCCGGCTGCCGTGCAATCTCCCTCGAAGATACCACACGAGATTCGTGATCTACCTACCCAAAATCTCTTCGTGGACGCGCTCCCACCAGGGCTAGAACATATCCCATACCATATCTTGTTCATCTGCGAACGTCTAGCGATAGACCACTCAATCTCAATCTTGGACCTGGTAAGCGGTATGGATATCGCTACTGTATCCTCCGATGCAGAGGCGTTTTGGTCTTTCATTGACGAACATCGGAAAATACCGCGTATGAAGCTGCGGGAGTCAAACCGTCTCTGGCAAGCTGCGAAACGCGACTTTGATGGGTTCACTTTCAGAGGACACATCAATCTCAGCCCCAAACGCACTGGCCCGATTCTTAACCTTACATTGTTACCGGTACAATCGGATCGATCATGCCGACTAGAGCGAATGTTTGGCTCCGACCGATTTCTCTACTTATACACGCCAGTCTTCGACTTCTCCGAAACAAATCGTTTCACGGGTGAGCGGCTTCAACAAATTTGCAATCAATTTCAAGCATGGCTACTCGCAGAACACCACTTCTTGAACCGCAAATGGAGAGTCTTCCATGTTGAAGATGTGAAGAAGCCCAAGACCGCTCGACCCAAGGACATGGTCTATGACAAAAGGATCGTGCTGTTCGCCACCGAAGGATGTGGAATTGAGCAACTCTATTCAGTGGGTCAAATGCTCGATCGATTCCTACCATTCCACATCAACAGACACCAAGGCTTTTGCAAAGCCTTTGCTCGTATTGAACTGGGGCTTTCTCGAACCACCCCTACGTTGTGCTTTGAGACGTCACAAATCATCCACGTGGATGACGACTTGGCCACAAACGATCCGGAGGACACTCTATACGATGATTCGGACTTAGAGTGGCAGGCGATTCCGGATGGCTCGGTCATGAACGATGGATGCTCAGTTATCTCTGTTGGCGCTGCATTAGTCATATGGCAGCTATACAAGAAAACAACCGGGATGAAGGGACCTTTGCCCAGTACATTCCAGGGACGCATTGGCGGAGCCAAGGGACTTTGGATGATTAGCGCGGAATCTTACATCAAAGATCCGGAGCATCTCAAACACTGGATCAAGATCAACAAGAGTCAGTGGAAGTTTCATCCACCCGCCGACGATTCAATGCATCATCATCGAACCTTTGAAGTGTCCAACTTCAGTTCTCCGCCTTCACAGTCGGAATTGCATATATTGTACATACCCATTCTGGTCGATCGAGGCGTAAAGAGAGAAGTTATTGCTAGTCTTATGGAAGAGCGACTCGAAAGCGAACGCGAGAAGCTGCTACATTTACTACCAGATCCGGTCAAGGTCTACGAATGGGTTCATCAGAACGGTGCGAAGACCCAGGCTGAACCCGACTGGCAAGCTGCACTGCCAGTATCATTAGAGGAAAAGTTGAAGTTCTTGCTCGAGGCGGGCTTCGTACCTACCAAGTTTCCCTACCTCGCCAGAAGTCTCGAACGCTTTATCCAGACAAAGCATATCTTTCAGGAATCTAAACTACGTGTGCCTCTTCCAAAGTGCGCGTACTTTTATGGAATAGCAGATCCTTTTGGAGTCTTGGAACCAGGCGAGATTCAAGTACAGTTCTCATCCTCATTTGTCGACGAGGATACGGATGAAAAGTACTTCTGCCTTAGGGACATGGAAGCTCTCGTCACTCGTCAGCCTGCCTGTCGCCGCTCGGATATCCAAAAAGTCCGCACGGTCATACGACCTGAACTGTCACATCTGGTCGACGTAGTGGTTTTTCCTCGCAAAGGCCGGTTCCCACTAGCTGGGAAGCTGCAAGGAGGCGATTACGATGGTGACCTGTTCTGGGTTTGTTGGGAACCTAAACTTGTGCGCCCTTTTCTGAATGCTCCAGCGCCAATGACTACCCCCAAGCCTGCGAGATACGGCATAGAGACACGGAGCGAGAAGCTCGAGGATATCATGAACACCAGCGAACCTGAAGATGTGGACAGCTTCCTCAGTAAAGCTTTCGAGTTTCGTAACAACTCATCGCTGCTTGGTCTAGTCACCACTTTCGCAGAGAAACAAGCATACACCGAAAACCGCATTCATTCCCGGATACTTGAACAACTGTACGATATGCATGATTTGCTAGTCGATGCGTCCAAACAGGGTTACGTATTTACGCAGAAGAAGTTTGATAAGTATGTAGCCCACTTGAAACCAAGACAGCCGCGTTATAAGGAGGAGATGAAGAAATGCGCCAGCAAGGGGGACTCAGCAGGTGTTGAGAAAATCCGCAAAGCAGATCGGCGAGTCCGATCCAACCATATAGTCGATTACCTCTACTTCGACATTGTAAGAGCACACAACATCGAGACAATGAGTCAAGTCAGGTCCGTTCTCTCGGAAGCTGTTGAGCTAGACGACGCGCTTGTGTATCCAATCGATCACTTCGCCAAGAAGGGATCGGAGGCTATCAAACAAGAAATCCTCTCTCTGACAAGAAAGCTGGACGACGTCAATTGTACTTGGAATGCCGGCTGGCATGGTGATTTGAGCACGACGGAGCGGCTTAATACTGTTGTAAACAACTGCTATCAGAAGTTCCAGGCTATCCAGCCCGAAAACCCGGGCGACACCGATATCCGGCCTCTGCTTGATGATTACCTTACGCCCGGTTCATGCATGTGGGACACCATCAAGGCATCAGCATTATATGCACAGTTCAAGAGGCTGGAGAAATCCAGTTTCGTTGTGAAAATGGCAGGACGAGAGCTTGCGAGTCTCAAGGCAAACAGCTCTGAGAAATCCAGAGCTATAGTCTCGTCTATACGCATGAACATGAAGCCGAAACCAATCAAGGCACAGGTTCAGTACGAAGAGGAAGAAGAAGACGACTTTCAGACCGCGCTCGAGGAGCTCACCTTGTAGTTACCTCCAGGTCGTACGGAACCGGTGTTCATCTTACGCCGCTTTCACGTATCGGCTACCTCTCACTTTGGCACCATACACACATTATTCGCGCAGGATCATTACAGTTATTTGGGTGTTCAGGAGCGCTTATACAATCCTTTCCACAGGGTGTTGATCTTTCCACCAGTGTTCGATCCACTGTATTTACTCATTGGGTACTCGAAACATCACTGCGCCATCCATGGTTGCCGTTGCAATACCATGTACAAGCCAACGTATCTGGAGTCAGTCCAGGAGTCTCACTGAGCCATTCATAGCCACATCTTGTAAGATGGTGGCACAAACGTAGTATTAGGAGGAAGAGGAGGAGGAAGAAGGAAGGAAAATGAAGACATTCCGGTTGAGAGTCAGAAGAGATGTATAGAGGGGGTTAGAAGATGGAAGTGGAGGTACAAGTAGGAGTCTGCTCCATGTCACTCATTTGTCTCTCTTCCGATGGTCGTAGCTTCAAGCCAGGTTATTGTGATTTCGCTTCTTGCTCTCAATTCGGTGCTTTTTGTACTCTTCTACTCAATCGTCATATGCATAGCCCTGAATGATATAGATGTATACGTGATGAATATGCAGAAGCGCAAGCATCAACCAGTGCTTGTCGCCTTTGAGCAATAATTGGGTATCTTTGAAAACATCCACAGCTCTCCAGTACATCTTTAGCACATGCCTCACCCCGCCGTAGGCGCAGCAGCAGCAGCAGCCTTGATTTTCAAATTCCTCCTCTCTTCTTCTCTCCGCGCCTCCACACCAGCCAAGAACTCCATACGGCCCAGATAAGCTTCCTTGGTCTTTCCATGTGTATCCAATTCTTCTGCGATGCCCTCTTTGTCCACGAAGCCTGTCCAGTCCATGCGCGATTTGTCCACGACATTGAGCTTCTGCGCCTTCTCGACCTTCTTCGCGACCGAGATGTCTGTTTCTGGCGGAATTTCCTGCTCGCGTTGTAGATCGGCAGCGGCGGCACGGGGCCAGAAAAGTTGGTGTTCGGGTGCGAGGGCGCGGACGTAGCCTGTAGGGTTGGGGTCGAATCGGGATGGACGGCGGAGGGGACGACGGATCTTGGGTCCACTAGACTCGGAGGGATCTTTGGGGGACTCTGTTGTGGGTATTGTCGCTGCGGACGCATCGAGTGTCGTCCACCCATCTTTGAGGTATTTGTCGAGCTGCGAGCGTGGAACTTGCTTCTCCTCGGTAGTGTCCTGCCCAGCGAAAGTGAAGACTTTCTTGATCGTGAGCTGTTCTTCCTCTTCCGCTGATACTGGGATGTTGGCTACGGGTACGTGATTTTGTTGTGCAGCTGATTCATGTGATGCTGTGGAATCCAAAGGCTTCAGAGGCGCTGCTGTCATTTGGGCCCATAGCGCATCGACATCCACAGTTGCGCCATCGATCCTTGCAAGCGGTCTCCGTTCCTTTCCTTCAATCCTCCGTTGCGCCCGCGTTTTGACAAGCCCGCCCTCCCCGCCTTCATCATCTGATATGATCAGCTCGTCTCCATCATCGTTGCCGCTTTTCTTCCCCTTCTTCTTCGCCCGCTTCTTCCGCGCAGCTTGTATTGTCACTTCGTCTCCAGAATCAAGGTCTTCATCGGCAGGCGCTTTCCGCTTGCCCTTGCGCTGTGTGGGTTCTATCGTGACATGGTCTTCGTCTTCGGAACTGGATGCCTCTTCGGGAGGCGCGGCTTCGGGGTTGAAGTCCTCATCGGACGACTCGTGGTACTTCTCGTCGACGTTCTCGAGGTCTTCGTCGCCATAAGTGTGTGGCATGGTAAAGTGGGTATTGAGTCGGAGGCCTGGGATCGCGTCGCGCAAGCCAGAACGAAGATGCGCCAGATCGACGGCCAAGGCCAATGTGGTCTAGCGTGGCGCAAGGGCGAGCTCCAGACATCTGGAAGTTCATACGTCAGTGACGTGGGCGGGGAGGCAGGCGCGTTCCAGATCAAAACAAGCGAGCCATGCCTTCAGCTGGGCTGGCTTGCTTCTGTCTCCTAACCTCACCGTCGCTGTCGCGTAATGCGCATTTGACTCTATCACTGATCGCATAACCCAGCCAACATCATGGCGCCAGTCGATACAGTCGCATCTACGCGGAGTAACTCACTCCCCATCGCTCTCTTTGGCGGCCAAGTGCTCCTTGTTACAGTCCTCACAGCTCGTGTCCTTCTCACTACTCGACGCGCCGCCAAATCTCAGCCACCATCAACGCGCACGCGCTCACAAGACTCGGCTCGTCGCCGCCATGCCGTCACCTTCTCCATCATTGCGCTTCTCTCACTACTCTCCGTCGGCAGCTTTGCCTTCCTCTGGCGCGCTATCTCCTATGTGCGGTGGGCTGGAGAGAATACACATGACATTCCGGGTAGCCTCTGGAGTGGCTGGTATGGCACTGGCGAGGAAGGGAGATGGTATCTAGCCGACTGGATCGCGGACATCGATCTCGTGCGCGAGTTTGACAAAGTTGGAATAATGAAACCGGAGGGGTTTCTGTATACGAGCCAGTATTTCGTTGGACTGATCGCAAGCTCCATTTTCATGGGCGCTGAAGGTATGTGCAATGCGATCGACGCAGGTTGCACAAGTCCCTCACTGACTGGCCGTCTTTAGGCCGCAGGCGCAATCTTTCCAACACAACCATTGCGTCGTTCGTACTACTGAGCTCCATTGGAAGCTTAGGGTACTCTTTGAGCTTGTTCTTCATCACCATCTTGTATACTCCTTTGACCATACACCACGATGATACCCCGCTACACGACGCGCTGTTCACACCATATGCTTTCGTATACGACACTGGCATCGTTGCGTCGCTCATTACTCTGAATCTCTTTCCACAACTAGTCTCCGAGTTCGGCGACAAGAGCATGATGCGACTCGGATACCTGGCCATGCCACTTGCCTTTGCATTTGCGCCACAGCTGGTTCCCTACGCACTGGGTCATCAGCATACGTCTAAAGCAGCGGCCCATAGATCATACGTCAAAGTCTTCCACGCACTGTCAATCGCCTCTATCCTCGTATACTGGCGTGTGTGGACTACTCTGGTGTACGTCAACAGACCTGCCCAGCGCTCTCACGTTTGGGATCTCTTCGCGAATTCTATTGCCAAGAGCGATTCGGCGAATGCAAACAGGCTTCTCGCAAGTATCAGCAACGCGGGCCAAGCTCTCAAGCACATCAGCATGCACCCGGCTATCAGTGTCACCAGCCTCGACGTCCTCTTTGCTGCCATCAGCTTGCTGACGTGGACTTTCACGCGCGATCTAGATGTGCATGCGATCCTAGAAAGCAGCATACTTTCTTTTCTCGTTCCCACTCATGAAAAACACGTCACATTCAAGCAAGACCTGGCAAGAGTGATGGAGCATGCGAGCGAGCCCTCGTCGCCAGTAGAGCCTGTTACGCCGAGGAAGCCTGGGCGCCCGGCAAAGAAGGCTGACGTAAATGGTACATCCACTTCCGCAGCCACGAGTGCGTCTCTCAGACGCAGCACGCGAGGGAAAGCGCGCACTTCGGATGTGGATTCTGACGCAGGCTCATTTGCTGGTGACCCTGATGCTACATACCAACCAACAGAGCAGACCAAGCGCGCTATACAGGGAATGGATTCAGACGGCTCCGCGCCTGAGGGCGATCTAGTTCACGCGGGAGAGTCGACTGCACTAGCCATGTTTCTTGTCTTCTTCGGTGGACTTGGTCAATTAGCTGCGGGTGCGCTGGGTGCCGAGGTGACGGGACCGCGAGACTGAGGCGGTTGAGTGTACTGTACTTCAGATCGCCCGAGTAACGAACGGGAATTATTTTCTTATTTGGAAACCTGACGAGTACGCAATCTATGAGCTGTTTAGGGTAGGCGTACAGGGCCTTTGATGTACGGGAACAAGGATGGATGGGAATAGCGGCTTTGGCTTTTGATTTTGGATACCCCGGGTGCACCGGAGCGTCGGGTCGTTTTGATATTGCTTTTTTGGAATACAGTGTTTGCAGGGATATAATGTACATGTTGCGCGAAGTCATCAGGTTGACGAGCAGAGTGACGATAACGCGCATGTTGACATGTCCTACTGACTGAACTCATACACGTGTGCGACGTCCATCTGACAGTAAAGGGGCACACAGCGCTGCATCAATGACGTTCGGAAATAGTTTCTGCTACGCTGTGTAACCTTGCTGCCGCGGATAACAAATCCTTGTCCGCCATGCGGCGGTGATATCGTCAGCTTGACTCAGGTCAGGTTGGGCTGATGGAGGTTGACTTCGGCACAACACTAATCGGGTAACTGTCCCAAGCCACAAAATACCAGGGCGTTCGCTCTTCATCGAAGTTGGGCTGGTGTTGGAAAGCTGGGACGAGGACAGAACGGCGGTGCCTGAAGATCTTCCCTTGTTACCGTAAGCGAACGTGGCCTGCACGCGACCAACCGCCTCCTCACAATGACACTCTCCGTCTTCTACGACGGTTCCAGATGCTTCAGCGTCGTGCCACTGCGGCTATTTATCAGCAGCACTGACTTGTCTCCGACCCGGCCTCGAAACTTGTTGCAGTGACGCTCTGGTGCCCGACGACTGGGCGCGCGCGGAGAGCCATCCTTGCCGACCCGGCTTCTTCGGCTGCTGGCTGCCAACAGAGAGTGGTTGCGAGAAGTGAAATTGCAGGGCGGGCATCCTGTCAGAGGGTAATCCAAGCATTCCTGGAAGAGTTATAGTACTCCCGAGCGTTTGGCTGAAGGCGTGATTCGGGTTGGGCGTCGGCTCATCAGCAAGGACAGCGGTTCTGGGGCAGTGGCAGGCTCGGGCCTAAAGACTATCACCACCGTGCGCAACGCAAAGACGCTACACTACCACTGAACAACCATGGAGGTAAGCCCAGATTCCTTCTTTTACTCCTTTGCTTTCCCCACGTGTATCGTCGTCTTCCCTATCTAGCTAGATTACTGGCAAAGCCCCGGAGGTTGCGTCGCGACTTCCTCAGCCCTATGTACGTCTGCACCATGGCCTGAGCTCCCTGGGTGCCTTCCGCTCGGTGTCGACTGCCTTGCGCGTATCACCGACTGTTGTTGTGGAACATCACGGGGGCTCCTGATTGACTCGTCGCTTCTCTGCCAGCTCTCCTTTGCATGTACCGCCCGTCCTCGTGGCCTCTCCCTGCTGGTCTCGTACCACACGTTGTCGCAGCGTGCCTGTCACTTCCCCACGAGAGTAGGACGCTTCACTGCGCAGATGCCTGCCAGCTGAAGGGAGATAGGAAGGGCCGGCTTTCTGTTTTCTGTCTTTTCTCGGCGCGGCGCTTTCTTCACCCACGATACCCAATTTTCTCTTAGTTCTGCGACTTCTGCTCTTAGCGATATACCCTGTACCACTAAGCACCACCATGGAGAGCCGCTTTCTTTCACACCGCCCTTCAGCAACCTTCGATGCTGCTCGCGACATTGTTCGAGACGATGGCGCTGAGGAGAGGCGGACATCCGCTAGTTCATCTTTACTCAGACCAAGTGCTCAATTGACCATGGACCGTTTTCTGCAGGATCTATCCAACGCAGAGCAGCCACCTGTTGACTTTGCGCCGCAGTATCACACTGGTCGCGTCCCCAATAGCAAGGCGGGAGATGGCAAGCCGCGATTGCTGCTCATGGGCCAGAGAAGGTGAGATTCGTCAAGGTCAGCGTGTTGAGCGCGCTAACCATCCATCTGCAGGAGCGGCAAGTCTTCGATATCAAGTGTCGTCTTTCACAAGCTGCCGCCAAGTGAGACGCTGTACCTCGAAACGACGTACAGGATAAAGAAAGAGTCCATGCAGTACGTTGACCATCAAGTGTACGCATACATGGCTGACTAACAACGCTAGCTCGTTCATGGACTTTCAAGTATGGGATCTGCCAGGCCATCTGGACTACTTTGATCCAGCTTTCGATACCGACAACATCTTCGAGGAGATTGGAGCTCTGATATGGGTTATCGATGCCCAAGATGAGTATCTCGATGCAATTGCGCGACTAAACATGACCATCCTCAACCTCCAGCAATCATACCCCAACATCAACGTGGAAGTCTTCGTGCACAAGGTCGACGGTCTTTCAGATGACTTCCGCGGTGACACTTTCCGCGACATCATTCAGCGCGTGCAAGACGAACTATCGGATCACGGCTATGAGCAGGCGCCCATATCTTTCTACCAGACTTCCATCTACGACCATTCCATCTTTGAAGCCTTTAGCAAGGTGATCCAGAAGCTCATCCCACAGCTTCCCACCCTCGAAGCGCTGCTCAACAACCTGTGTGGTGCCTGTAACATCGAGAAAGCCTACCTCTTCGACATCATGAGCAAGATCTACATCGCGACGGATACAAGCCCGACCGATATTGGTAGCTATGAGATATGCTCCGATTACATTGATGTGGTCATCGATGTTAGTGAGATCTATGGCTGGGATCGACCCGATGAGGGCGAGGATGAGAGTGAGACTGGTAACAACGATGCTGAGAGTCTGATCACCATGGAGAAGAAGAACAGCAGATATCTCTACTTGCGGGAGATTAACAAGTAAGCAGACTGCATGGTTATGGAATCGTGAGTGTACTAACGATGGCTACAGATATCTCGCTCTAGTATGCATCATGGGCCAGGATAATCCAGCGGAAAAGAAAGCCATCATCGACTACAACGTCGGCGTCTTCCAAGCAGGACTCAAAAAGGTCTTCCCCAAGAGCGACAGAGAAGCGCAAGTCGAGATCCGCGATATTCACGACGGCGCTGAATGAGTGATCGGGGTGATTCTTGTTGAATTAGGAAAGACCACTGAGCGATTTCGTACTCTAAGAAGCGGCAAACGCCACGACTCCTACATCATGCAAACCACACAACCAGTGGAGAGAAGATGGCAGATGGGACGTTGTATATACACACGAAAGAAGGGTTGTATTACTACAAAAGTGATACATTCGCATGACACATGCGGTATCGTACAGTAGCCTGGTTACAGAAATTTGCGTATTGACTCTACGAGTGATGCGATTCTAAGTCTTTCATGCCGATCTCATCCATTGCAAGTTGTCCAATAGTGATAGTCCAGTAGTAGCGTCTTGGCCAAGATCGCCAATGACATCAATCTGAAAGTGGCCAATCATCGGAACCGAGATTGTGGTACTTCCCGACAGCAGCGCCTCGGAACGCGCAGGCGAAAGCAATCTATTCTCCGCATCGCGCATCCGACGGTTCCTGGCTTGCGGACACGTCTCCGAATCTTTCTTCGGCGGCTAGTTAGGGTTGTGCCTCGGTATCTGAGTGACGTTGACGCGGGAGTACCACACTTTGAGCTGCGTAACTGTTGGATGAACAGGTATGAACGTCTCCGAGCAACTCTCGGTATATGTAGACTGACCACGCAAATAAGGCAGTGCATCCGAACGCATTACCGTCACTACCACCGCCATAATGTCCTCATCACAGCGATACCGCCGTGCTGCGAAAGAGGAGCCCACAGACACGACCACGTCTTCCATTCCTCCGACCTCCTCGGGCGCTCAAGAGAAAGCAGAGCTTAAGAAAGCTGTCAAGGAGCAAGCCGCTGCGACGTCAAATGGCTTATCCGTGCTGGACATACTGCGCATACTAGGTGGCGTCCTCCTATTGAGTTGCGGGCTGAGCTATCTGAGTACAAGTGGAGAGAGCATGACATGGGGATATAATGCATGGTGGACCAGAGCTCGAGAGTGGAAGAGCCTCATGGTAAGTCTCTCCTTCACATTCCCACAAGCACTCGTAGCTAACATGACACGTAGCAAGGAGAACTCACCCTAACCGATGCTGAATTGGCTCTATATGACGGCAGCGACCCCTCGAAACCGATCTACCTCGCTCTAAACGGTACAATCTACGACGTTTCCATTTCGCCTACAACCTACGGACCCGGCGGCTCATACCACTTCTTCGCGGGCAAAGACGCAGCGCGCGCCTTCCTTACGGGTTGTTTCGCAGAGGACACTGTGCCCGACCTACGCGGCGTAGAGGAAATGTTCATACCCGTTGAACCCGAAGAGAAAGCCGGCCTGACACCGGAAGAAAGAGAGGTGGAGATGGAAAAGGCGCGGAAGAGGAAACCATTGAGCAAGGGAGAACTGAAGAACAGGCGTGCACAGGAACTCAAGAGCGCCAGAAAACAGATGGTCGCTGGTCTGGAGGGCTGGCATATGTTGTTCCGTGGAGACAAGGGTAAGCCGTATAGGCGGGTAGGCTATGTTAAGAGGGAACCTGGATGGCAGGACAAGATGCCTAAGAGGGGCTTGTGCGAGCAGGCCGAAAAGGGCAGGCCGGTTCGGAAATATGAGCAATAGGTCGAGCTTCCCTCGGCATACTGTCCTGGCCTTTGAGGCGTACATCCCTTTTATATATATATACGCACAAACTTGATGTCCGCAGCCTCAGCCTTCTTCTTGTAGAACATGTCCAACGACTATTCCCACACCCTGAATTCCCTCCTTCAACTTGCGCGCCAAGTGAAGTTAGCTGCGCTACAATGAAGTGTCTTGTTTAATCGACGCAAATTGTGAGGCATTTGGTGGGTGCATATGGCTAATTCACTCCAACAAAATACCGGTGTGTCCTTGAGTCACACCGTCGCGTGACGTCTTGCAACTTGAGAGATCGAGCCTTCCATACTACAAGCGGAATGATGTGATCCGAACCGCAGAGCAAGCAGGAAGGGATAGCTGTACCAGAGGTTCTGACTTCCACAAGCGTCGCCTGAGATATTATACAGGCCTAAATCAAGGGACCGCGGCATGAATTAAATCCTTCTTCACAGACCGATGGTACATGTCCGCAAGTCGACCAATACGTGCTCGCGCTCTGACCGGACATATCCTTGTGAGCAGTCATAGTAAGGACGAGGGTGTAAGCAAGACTGAGACCTGTCGTCGGTACGTCTCTAGAGGGAGAGCAGAGTGTTATGGCAATTTCAAGCAGGAGAGTAAAAGCGGTGGAATTCGCGATTGACATGACGCCATACATCAGCGCTAGTATGCTTGCAAAAGCCAGAATAAGGGGAGGGGGCCCGAGGGCTGCAAACATTGACAAAATCATTACGATGATAGTGGTACGAACGAACACTCTGTAGCGTTGACTCAACATTAGTACACGAGGAATGTCACTAATAGCAAGGTCAAGTTGGGTGGTGGTGTTTCGGAAGTCTTTTCATTCAGTACATAACCGACACCTCCAATGGACCCTAGGTGCTGTACCCGAGCCCGTTCCTCTCATTTCATGTCCGCTATGAAGCATGCATCCCAATGTAGTATGACCCGTTCATTTCATGAAGACGCCGATTGGTAATGGAAAGAGGAATGCCGTTAAAAAGCTGAAAGAGGTATCCGAGATTCGCATTTACGTTCGTTTAATTGTCGGTTGCGTAAGGCTTACTCGGCGGCGCCGACAGCTCGTGCTGCAGTGTGTTAGTGAGCGCTCATACGATCTCCAAACATTCCAAGGTTTCGTAACACGTGGATCTTTGGAAATGCTTTTGTGGTGACATACTGTAGATGCTGAGCTTGGAGTGTCCGACAACCTTCTTGATCTGACCGTTGGCCTCAAGGTCGTTAAGAGCTTGACGCGCGAGCGAACCGTTGATCTTCAAGCGATCGACGAGAGTGGCAACGGTGATGAGGCGGTAGGACTGGACATCCTTCTGGAGCTTGTCGTTGGTCTGCTTGTCGAGAACGACAGCGTGCTGGGCCTTGTCCTTGACTGCTTAGGTGTTAGTGGCAAATCGACTCTAGAGTCATGTTGAAGTGCGCGATGGTGAGACAGGGTTGCGGGAGTATGAATGATGCTTTCGAGCGTTTCCGACGTGTTCGCGAGGTGTATAATTATGCTGAAGGTGTGCAGTGCTGGATCACGTACCCTTGCCCTTGGACCACTTCTTCTTCTGCTTCTTGCCTCCAGTTGCTGCAGGTGCCTGTGTAACGGTCAGCGCCAACAATCTTCGTTTTCGGTATCTCGACCGCGCATTAGACGTACCATTTTGTCGGTTGTTGTGTGGTTGCTGAGGAGAGACGGTCGAACTCAGGTCAATTTCGACTTGCTCGGGGGCGGAGAAGGTGCGCTTTCTTGGCGCGCTAACCAAGCGAGCTACGTCCCCACGTGATCAATCACTCCACCGTCCGACCTACTCGACGTGATGCCTAAGGCATGTGTGACGCGATTCTTATTTGCTATTCAAGTATGTGCGTCAATTCGTATGAATTTGGGTTTCACGTTCGCCACGGAACTCCAGGCTGCAGACACGTGCAGCACCTGGGCGTTGTTCTCCAGAGATACCATTGACAGCGCCACTCAGGTGCCGCACGCTATGATTCCGATCTCTTTAGCGCTCATAGACCGTTGCCAGGAATCATATGTCGCTCATTATGAGGAGGGATCACGCGTTCCCTTAGTTGGCGGACATGCTTCCCAAACGATGCTTTTAATGAATTGGAAGATTAGCGCCTGAACCGCCAACGTATGCAACCAATGCGGCGTGATCATAATGATGTGCTTGAACAGGAAGGTGTGGTTTGCTGAACGGCGACAAGGTCATGAAGTAGTCTTGACGACCATCAAGGTGTCGGTGGCGGATAGAAGAGGACAATGTCTGTGTGCGAACTTCTGGGGGGCTTCGGAAATTGTTGTCGAAAACTACCAGTATGGACATGGATGCGCGGGGGTCTGACCGTCAATGCAACGCTGCAGGGCATGAGCATACGAGGTTCGGAGAGATGTGTGCACCAAATTTAGCACGCGGTTGGTTGACCGTGATCATGCACTAGTAAAGTGCAGTGTAGATCAATACATGTTCCACACGGACGCGAAGCCCTGCGCCAGCACGCGGACGAAGTGCATAGGGGTAATCCCGTTCGATGTCAACGTACACCATAGAGCAGAGATGTGCCGAAGATTGTTTTCCAATTACAAGCTAATCAGCACAAGTCACTACCAAGGACTCTTGCGCCAGCCAAGTGCGTCCGACTCGCCTTTTCGCATATTGTATCTCTCCGATGTAGACAACGCAGATACCCCTCAACCATGACTGATACTGACTCAAGGAAAGTAATGAGAGACAAAGACACGTCTGACAGGAAAGGAAATGGACGTCAACATACGACTGAACCACGAATAGAGACGATGAGGGCAAGGAAAAGGTTGGCTTCAACTAGAAAGATCTCCCTCCGTCTTTTTTGCAGTTCGATGCCAACAATTACTTCGCCCGCTGAGCCCACACGCGAGCACGCGTTCTTCCTCTACGTGATTGCAAATGCTCGCTAAGATGGAAGAACAGTCCGTAGTAACCAGAACATGGAACAGAGCTGACAACTGGTAAATGCTGATGGCTCCAATCCGCAAGTGCAACGATGAGAGGTATTCGCCAAGACGCCATGTCCAAATGATGGATGCATAATCATTAGAAGAAATGGGTGTGTGGTTTCGAGAGCTCGTGAACTTCCATCTCCTGTTCGAGTGGTTAGCTTGGCTCCGGTAACGATACTCTAGCTGCAGTACATACCATCTTAAAGGAGTTCAGTTCCTCCTTGATCTGTTGCGCAAGCATCGGTGTAAGCCTATTACACGTTGCGATGTCGCCTCTACGATCGTAGTCCTGTGGTGACCATGCATCGTGGAATTGAATGCGTGGGCTAAAACTGATGTTTCGAAGACCTCCGTGAGGTGTGGTAGGAAGACTCCTAGTGCTGCCGTTGGGGATACGCGGTGGTTTGCCGAAGTAGTCATCGTTGCGAGCTTGCCCAACCTCTGTTTTTGGCGTGGCAGGGGAGCTAGATCTTGATGAGCCCACATTGGGGACGGCATCGACGGGTTTCAGAACAGGTGAACCTGAATCTGAGTTTGTACCGGTGCCTGATGTTTCATTAGTAGCTGCATATGAGGAATGCGTAGCACACGTACGTTTCAGGATGCCCTTCTTCATCGAGGAAAGGACCTCCGCACGATCACGATCGGACCCAACGATGCTCTTCCTTGACATAGCCTCGTTGCCCAACGCAGAGGGGTTCACAATCTCGGCGGACCGTCCGGCGTCAATCGAATTGCGCTCCAATCTAGGATAGCCAGTGCCACCTCCGATCTGCTCGTGAGGGTTTGCGTTGACATTGACCTTTTGTCTCTCAGCCTCGACGGTGACAAGAGACACCTGACCCACGCTGGGTCTAGTGATAGGACCATCGGCGGCAGGGACTCCAATGACAGACTTTGGCCTGAAGAGGCCCTTGATAGATTTTGTGCCCTTCTTCATCCCATGACCCATCTTGCGGAGCATGACCGATGCAGACGACGCGGCTGACTGTATTGAGAGGTTGTCAGTAGAGCCTATGCCACCCTGTCCTGAGTAGATGCCAGCGCCAATACCTGCCGCCTCTTGCTTTGCGATAATCGCCGCTTGTTCGGCATCCTCGTCGTTCTGGTACTTGTCTTTCCTCAATCTTGCACGCTCTGCCGAGATGTTATTCTCTGCAGAAGCTTTTCGAAGCTCAGCTGCGCTTCCAAAAGAGAAGGCCCTGCGTAGCCGGGACTTCATTCCCTTGTCCTTGTCGTTCACAGCGTTGAGGTGTTGCATCGCTGTGCTAGGTAGTACAGGTGCCTTCGCAGGGCTTGCAGGCTCTGATGGGGAGACCGGGTGCGACAGAGGAGATGGAGCTTGCCGCCTGTTAGGCTCAGGTGCTTTGGAAGGACCACCTGCTGCTACGGAGGCATAGCTGCGCTGCGTGTTCACCACAGGGCGAGACTGGAATCCTTGTCAGCTTGAGAAAGTCTGTTGAAGTCACTCTACTCACCTGAGACCTCGAGGAATTGTTAGAGGAAGCACTGCCTGCACTGCCTTGCCGTTCGTGACTGTGACTCGAGTCAGGGCGGCTTCCTGCACGATTCGAATTCGAGGGCGTGGTGGTGGTCGCGCTCGATGTCGTGCTTGGACCAGCTCCTGAGCTAACCTGCAATGATGCCATGGCGGAGGTAACGTTGTTGTCTCCTTCCAGTCCGTTGAAACTGCGTCTTCTATATCGCTTAGCGGGGTCTATACCGCCTGAGCGAATAACTTGCGTATCATCTGCACTGTTCGCTCGGTTGTGCCCTGGCCTGAATGGCTGTGGGCCGTCACTCTGCGTGGGTCCCATCTGGGAGTTTCCTCCTGATGTAGAGCGTTGCGTCGGGGTAGAGGCACCGGTCGGAATGCTGTTGGACGAGTCCGTCCGTCCAGCGCCTCGCCTGTATCGTCCTGGTGAGGGCTTGGCAGGCGTATCGCCTATTGAAAGCGAGAGATCGGGTATGGAGGTGGATAGCGTGATGGAGGGCGCAGCGGAGTCGTAAGGTTTCTTGGTGTCGCGGTCATCTCTGGCAGCTGCGGGTGGCCCAGCCGACGAGCGGTTGGACGAGCCAGAGGTGGAGACTGTGGAATCGGATGATGAGGAGGGGTGAGAGGGGTGGCCGAGTCGTGTCTGGTTGGCGTGGTTGGGAGGCTGCTGCAGGGTTTGGGGGGCTGGAGTCGAGGCAGACCTGTTGTCCTGGCGCAGCTGGGGCGTGCTGTTGAAGGCATACGGGGCTATGGGTGCGGCGGTCCCCCTGTATCCAGTGCCTCCCGAGTTTCCATTTTGCTGGTTGCGCGGCATCTGCGAGGCCCGCTGTTGTTGTTGGTTGGGGTGGTTGGGCGTGTTTTTGTAGGCATCGGACGGCGAGTAGGGCATTGTAATGGGTCCTGTCGTCTGGATGACTGATGTGAGTACCTGAGCCATCGGAGGCCTGCGAGGTAGCGCTATCAGGAGCTCGACGGGGGTGGGCGAGGACTCGTCGGCGGCAGGAAGCGGCGACCGAGACGGGCAAAGGAAGATCTGTGGAGGGCGGGCGCATTAGCAGGGGGCTCTGAGAGTGCGAAGGCTGCGGGTGGTGGAGCGATGGGCATGGTGGCCGCGGTCGCGGACGGGAGGCAGGCGACCAGAGCGTGGCCTTTAGGGACGGGGCATTGGGGGGCAGGCAGGCCTGTGTCGGGGCTCCTGGGGCGGCGACGGGCAGCTGGGGGAGGTGTACCTGCTATGAAACAAAACGGACAAAGTATTAAAACAGAGAATAGAATGTAACGTCGTCAAGCGCTGGGAAGGCTGTCGTGAATCGACGGAGATGGCAGCGTGTACCAAGCCTCCCGAGCAGTTGTTCAAGCCTGCATTGGTCGGTCGTGGAGAGTCGGTCTTCTGCTGCTGACAACGACGTGCGATTCAACAAGCAAGCAGAAAAGGAAATAATAGAGGGAGGGTAAGGTTGGCCGTCGCGGTGAAGAGTTGAGGTTGTCAGGCAAAGGGGCCGCACTAGTCTCTGGAGCACGCACGGACGGGCGCGGCTAGGTCTAGGAGATTCAATAACTTCCTCACGCCAGACAACGAGCACGTTGCCCTGCCTCGCCAGGTGCAGCAGCGTCTTTATGCCAGCCTGCCTGTGCGGCCAACCCGTCGCAGGCGTGTGGGCGACGCTGGATGCCGTGAGCCTCTGCTGGACAGCCTCATGGCCTCGCGGCTCGTGGCCCAGGGCAGCTGCCGCTCGTCGTATTCACGCAAATCTTCATAGCCGATGGCCGCTGAGCTTCATCCGCCCCGACGTTGTGAAGACCGCGTCCATCACCTCACCTCACCTCGCCAGCTTCACTTTGACCCTGGTCGCGCCCCCGTCATATAGTGCTCGGGCGCAGCCGATATAAGCAACAATATCGCGGCGGCCCATTTGCACCTCTAACCACATGTTGATCCTGCCACATTCCCACCCTGCCGTTCGGAAGCTTCTCGCTGCATGGCAACGGCACACTGCACCAGGCCCGGCCAACGTCACGGCTGCCTGCAAACCCTCCAGCTCCTGTCGCGGCTGGTGCGTCGACGCGTTGCGCTTAGGCCGAGCAGATACGACGCGATCTGGTAAACACTTACGAATTCGCCTCTGCGAGGGTCCCCGACGGCCAATCCGCAGCGCGCGCCCGGCGTCGCGCGACCCACCGCACCTGCGGCTCAGCCGTTTGCAGCAGTTGGTGAGTAGCGGTGGGCTCGTTAGGTCGCTGGCGGGCTGCGATAACGACGCTCCAAAGCCCGCCTTCGCCATGTTGATGCTTCACCGACACGTCTGTACCCCGCTCCTCTGCACGCCAGTCTCCCGTCCCTCTGCTACGCCGTGCCTGCTCCTACTGTGCCTACCTGATGCCACGGCTCTACCACCACTCCCCACCTCTCCTGCTCCCGGCACTGCATGCATGGCACCATTGCAGAGGGTCCCGGCACCACGTCGGGCCTTCCGCGAGACTCGTGCAGGATCGCATCCCCGTGATGAAATTTGCGGATTGCGATGTTCCTCAAGCCGTGGGGAACGGGACGAGGATGCTCGGCTCAGCGAGATGAGAGCTGTTTGATGTGCATTGTCGAGGCACAACATCATTTCCTCTAATTGCGCGACCGCACTCGAGACACGCCTAGCAGTCCCATCTCTGCTGTTGTGCAGAAATGGCAGTGGTGCGCGGCGTCGCAGCTCATGGCGTTCGAGGGTGGGTTTTCTCCGTTCCACCATGTCTTTTTGTGCCCCGCTTTTCTCGCCAGGGTGACGCGATCATCAGAAAGACGCGATCAGTGCGGCTTCTATTTTGAGCAGCACCACCAATCAACGACTCGTGTGGAGAGATCGAGGAAAACCTCCTGCTTCTTCGGGAATCATCTACCGTCACTACCAGCCCTCATCCACACGTCTTCACGTCCTCTTGTGCATCATTTTTCCTCGCGTTCTTCGGCAGTAAGAGAATCCCGAGACTCGTCCAGACGGAGCATTTGCGCTAGCCTTTAGCACAACGCATGTAGAATTGACTCTCGCGGAGCTAACCAGGGTCCCAAATTGGCGGTACTTCATTGTCGTCGCAAGGAACCATCCCTCTCGATCAAGGCTCTATTACTATTACCATGCTGAGACGCAAATCCAGCTCGCCGATCAAAAACTGCCTGCTGTATCCTGGACACTGCAGGGAAGGCAATTGCAACCGATCGTTGTGCGTGTCAACACATCACCATGTCTGACTTCTCGACCCGACGGCACCAAGGCTTGGTTGGTTGCCCATGCTCTCGACTGATCCACTGCATCTCTGGGGTATTATCATACCCAGTCCATCCGCCAGTATCGAAGTCCAGATCTCAATCGCCACGATGTCAATGTCGACGCTTCTCCGCGTCCGCGGCAGCTGCGCAACACACTTTCATACCTCAATACAACCCAGCGATTGTAGCCGTTATGTTTAGTCTCCACGCGTCCATCGACCTAGAGCACTCCCAACGAGTATTCGGGGAGAAATTCTTACCAACAACCAATCAAGCATTTTGGCTCATCTACCCGTCTGGAACCCCACTTGCGTCCAATCGCTGTCTAGACCGGCCAAGCACGCACGAGGAAGCTTTTGTGGCTGCTCTGATTAACGTCACACAGGGTAAAGCCCTTTACTAGCAATGTAGTCTGCGCATTTGTTAGCAGAACAGCCAATTGGAACGCGCTTGATGTTTGAACGTCTCGCTTGGATGTTTCTTCCGATCGTCGATTGCCGTCCAGCCGCTGTCTGCGGGATCTCCAATGCCCATGCACAGTGCGCCATGGAACTGGATCTGCTGTCCTGTTGTCGGTGTAGTAGCTGTGCAGCTCGGTGCACACGACCTCTTGGGACGATGAACACACACCACTGGCACGCAGGCATGTTCCATCCTTGCTCACAACCCACACGAAGAGTGCTCAGCACGAAAGCTCTGATGTAGTAGCGTTCGCGGCTGTGTGGATTTGCTGGTCAACCGCCAAGGACGGGAAGTAGCGCTGATATTGCTGTATTCTGACCGCTTCAAACAGCTTTGTTAGGTCTGGGGCGCCTCTCGCATAGTCGTTCTGTCGGGGTCTAGGGATGCATTACATCTTGGCCTATCTGTGGCTGGAAGATCCATGCTTGTCCATTGGAAAGATGACTGATTGCTAGGGAACTTGGCACGATGGCGGGAACAGACTTCTGCTCACCATGTGTCTACTCTAGCAAAGACTGTATACTCCACAGCTCTTGGAAAGCGCAGGACTCAAAACTCCGCGCTGATCCCAACCCCGTCAGCGTCGAATCTCACTTTCTTCACTGATCGCCCATCTGACATCATTGCGAAGACACGTCAGCCTCCGTGTCGTTGAGGAGCCAACCCACATGCACCGTTGAGTCGCATCCACTCTTTGGTCACCGCGTTTCAGATTCAAGGTTATCGGATCGACAAGAACGGGTATCATAATTTCCCGAACCCTGATTTACCCAAGATGACGCAAGGATCTTCCGCTGCAGACCCGGCAGGTTTGTTTATGTGCGTCAAGTTGCTTGTCTTAATTGCCTTGACAGCAACGCGACCAGGTCGCTGGGTTGGAAAGATGTATCTGAAACGTGACGATCGATGGCTGCACGTATGTCATCCCGCGTTCTGCCACCGGGAGGATGGAGATATCAACAGCCTGCTTGGCATTATAACGAGCGCGTGAGGAACGTCCAACTACTTACCGTGACTCGTGTTCAGTACCCGAAGCAACAAGGTAGAGTCGATGGTGGAGATTGCAAAAAGAACGACCACAACAAAACATGCAATTCCGGACAGAGCATCAGCATGTTTGAGGAGCGTTTCTACTGGAGGAAAAAGCAAAAAATAAGCGAAGCCCATGGGGATCGAACCCACAACCTGTTATCTGTTAGAGTTTGGTGGGTGTCTCGAGGCGCGGTGAACCATACCTTTGGTGTTTGATGTTTTCAGCCGAAAACCAACGCGCTACCATTGCGCCAAGGCTCCTCTTTAGGAAGTATAGAAGACTGCCGCGAAATCTGCCCTATATAACTACAGTCAGAACTGTGTGTTTTCGCCATGCGAGCTTCCAGCCAGACTAGAGAGCAAAAATGCGGAATCCAAGTGACGAGTTCCTGCATTCTACCCCGCTGTTAGCCAGGCGCTTAGAGCATCCGGCGTTGGCGGCACACCCCACTGGCACGTGACCCCGCGCAGGTCTGCAAAAAGACATGCCCCTCCCCCAGCACCACCACCACAACGACGCCCAGGATGGCAAAAGGAATGCATCGGCCGGGAATCGAACCCGGGGCTAGCCGAAACTGTGCTGTGAGGCATGGCAACGGCTAATTTTACCACTAAACCACCGATGCGGATTGGAGGTGTTGTTGATGGAGGAATGAGCGGACAGTGACAATATATTGCCGGTAAAACCACGCGAAGAAGGAGCATTGGGGGATAAGATGTGAGAATTGGAGCAATTTGAGTTGGGTTGTTCAGGGGTAGTAAAGGATTTGACTGGGCTGTGGGTCTGGAACGCCATGGACTTGTACCACTGAGCTACCCCTCTATCGATAGTAGCGTTGCAAATTCTTAGACGTCTTGACCTGACTTCAAGGCTCGGAAGCAGACACGATTGTTTGATTGCGTTGCCGCGGCTAGGGTCGGTGACAGATCTTGAGCCATCGCAAAATCTACACTCGAGCAACTATGACGGGATACAACGGCAGCGTGGAGCCTTCCTCTAACTCAGGTGCCTCACAGAGACATAGACCATGTTTACCATCCTCCGAAAAGTACTGGATGATCAATTTGGCAGGGTGACAGCATCAATCATCATATTTTGGCCTTATAGCCGCCCTCAAGTTTCAGTGCTATCCCTATAGTGCTCTTCTGATGCCACTCAATACCTTCGATCATTGAGAGAGACCCATGCACTTGCACGAGGACTCCACGTAGGAATTTCAAACCCTTCGCCCTTGCATTGGCCCCCGCGATCATTGGAAACCGTTTTTAGCTCCACATCACCCACGCAACCTCACTCATCCTTCGAGAAGAAGCCAACATCTCCGCTTCTCTGCCCCATCTCCACGAGCCTCTCCCTCATCTTCTTGGCCCTTTCTGCCATGTCAGGTTCAAATCCCTCGAAATCGTATTCCTTGGCCCTGAACGTAGGTGTAAGAAGTCAGTGTATGTCTCACGCGCAGTTCGTATGGGATACTTACCAATCACCGACACCGTGCTGCAACACATTCCTCGCTCGCTCGCTCCCCGCATGTGTCGTTCCTATACTTCCATGCAACGTCATCCTTTCTTTCGAACTGTCGTACACGCCGCGATGTAGGATGTTGTTATTGTAGAAGGCCACCTCGCCTGCCTTGAGTTGCACAATGATCTGGTCGGGCATGTGTACTTCGTACGGGTCCGCATTTCGTTCCGTCTCAGTGCGTGCGCGTTTATGCGATCCAGGCACAAGTACAAGGCTGCTGTCGTCGTACAGTGCAAGGTTCCACTGTGCGTGATGCCCTGGCTTCTTCAATCGCTCGAGCTCTTCTTCAGGCGTTGCGGTAGCTGCGACATCATCTCTATGCCAGCGCAGACTGAAGTCCTCGTCTGGTCGAACCAGCATGTTGTATAATTCCATGGTCAAATCGTCCTCGCCACACCCAATTAGTGCTGCGACGTACTTCAGAAGCTCGCTGTCAAAGTACGATCTTGCGAATGTGAGATGATCGGGATTTGACGGGTGGAGCAGATGCTGCACGCCCCAGATGCCTTTCGAGGGATCTTGTGGCCATGGTGGGAACTGCTTCGGCAATGTACGTATATATGGCCATTTCCCAGATCGTGCCGCTTCTGTCATGCGGGAGGCAGCAGCGCGCAGGGCGTCGAGATCAAAAGATGGGAAGAGCGAAGCCGATAAGACCACGAAGCCATCGCGATCGAGAGCTTCGCGAGCTGCTTTGTACGGGTCGGCGCTCGATGAGGTGATGTTGTTTGAGTCCGAAGGCCCATTTGATGCTGGCTTAGCGGCTGGTTGCGCTATCGGTAGCTGCACCCTGGCCCTTGCACTTCCTTTCGGGCCTCCCTTGTCGGGCTGATGTTCGAACTTCCGCATCTTCTCTGTACCTGGGAGGAAGTGTGATAGAAAGAAAGCGCTGAGAGCTACAGACTTTTGTACGTTCCAACGCGCAGTTCGATGTCGATGTGCTACCCCGCTAGTGCTGTTAGCCCCGCAATGAGGCCCATTTGGGCATGCCGTAGTACAGACGCAAGCCGTATTGTACATCCAGCTCCGAAATCCCTACTATAAGGCTCTCGGATTAGGAGATGATGAGGTCACGAGGTTATACCAGCGAAAAACAGGGAAGAAAGACATGCCCAGACATGGTAGACGCGTTCAAGCGTGGGCGAGTCTCTTCACTTATGAACAGCAATGAATATTGGAGCTGCGGTCTGGATAGTTATTTCCAGTCTGAAGAGTAACGCTTGATTGAAATTCCGAAAAGAGCGACTGTCGCAATAGAAGTAGGAGAGGTTCGTCGACACGTAAGCACACAATCCAACACTGTTTCCCCTCTTAACATGCATCTCAGTCCAAGACCTCGATGTCATCCTAACCAAACTTATTCCGCAATCTCAAAAGCCTTCACCGACTCATCCAGGTACCCGTATCCTGCATTCGCTTTGACAGCTTCGACGAGAATGGTGGTGACATCAGAAGGAACGTCGCCTCCAATCCTAAAGTGACGGTGCTTGCGTTCGACCGCATCCCAAATCCCAGCCACATTGGGCTTGACAGCATCAACAGACCTCTTGGCAAATCTTCCCTTCAGACGTTCGTCCCCACTGTGCCAGAGTGAGCCTCCAGTCTCCTTTGCACCACATCCTTCTTGACCACCACCGGTAGCCCAGCAGAAGTCTTCGAAACCTCCGCCGCCGCCACAGTAGCCTTCCGTAGTCACGGCGCATGGGTCGCCGTCTTCGCCGTTGAATACGGCGAATGAGTCTGGATCGCGGCCATCGACCTGGGTGTTGTTGAGGCCGCGACCTAGAATCGAGCTTGTAGTCTTCCAGAAGTTCGCACAGCAGGTTTCAGCAGGGATGTTGCTGCACATAACTAAGGGTTGATGTATAGAATAAGTAAATGGCCCACACTTGGCCAGCACGGGGGACATTGCTTACAGTAGGCGCCGTCAAGGTCGAGGTTGCACTCTGTGTTAGGAACGCTGTCTTCCCAGATGGCGAACTGGATAATGTCGACAGCATGAGCCATAAGAGGCAGAACCGCAAGGATGAGACTCTGAGTGTACATGGTGAGTTTGGTGGTAGTTCGAGCCGTTTGTGTGTTTGAGTGGTGGTTGATGAGGTGAAGCGAGGGCTAGAAAGCTGATGTTGATATCTGAAGGCCTCATCGTAACTTTATATACACGACTTCAGATATTGACCCACATGCTTTACCCATTACATCTATTCTCAAACGAAGAGATGGTGCTAGTAAGGCAGACTTCCACGCAGTGGTCCATCCTCTACGCGACTATCGCGAAGGATCACAAGTTTACGCCCGTGGCGGAGGTCCAGAGGTTTAATCCACTCCCAACGTCCCTCTTTGACTTGACGCTGCTCGGTTGCGTACGCGATATTTACTTGCTACGCAGGTCTTAGGCAGGTAGCCAAGAAATAATCTGCCGGTCGAAGCACGCATCAAGAAGCTAGTCTTTCACCCACGGGAACGGCTCAGTGACTGCACTGCGGCCTTGCATGTGGTCGGTGTTGAATCTGTTGTCGCGTTTTTGAGGCGGAGTCCACGGTTGCGTCGCGAAGGATCTGGCGCTAACGCAGCGAGGACTGGAAAATCCTAAGCACGGGGTAATGACCCCTATAGGACGCATGTCCGCTTGGTTCAATCAGATTTAGCCGGTATAGCATAGACAAGTTGACGCCCTTCGTGTGCGCGGTCGCGGACCCGAGTTAGACGGCCGATTTGTCAGGCCAGGTTGTATGAATGAACATGTTCGACGGGTGTATGATCTCCGTAGTCTGCACTTTCAACAACTTGTTACCAGTTGGTGTAACCGGGAGATTTGCACGGGTATGGCCGGGCCAGATCCTCGACAGGCCAACAAAGCAGTTGCAATATCGGTCTAGGCCATGGTCTCCGACGTATGCTGTCCTTGACAACGCTGTTCTTGTACCAATCGTCTTGAACTCTGCAAAGGTGAACAGAGTAGCCTCCACGATGTAGTAGAATACCTGGGAGAGGCCTTGTCTACTGGTGGCTGCTGAGCTCTCAAAGTACACTAGGAACTACGTTTCCGTTACAAGTTTGCCAGCCTGCATCTAGGATTAGTGTGACATGCCTACATAGGGTTTTAGACATAGAAATTGCGATGAGATGAGACACAGACGTCCCTTCTTTGGTAGCATCCCTTCGACTTCGTGTGCATGCAAGCAGTGTTTTATCGCAGCCCTTAAAGGACGGATTCTCTTCGCTCATCTTCCACAGACCGCCCTTGGTAAGATCCGGGATCTTTCTGATCGATGAGTTAAGCGTATCGCATTCGTTTATGTATCCACGTTGCGAATGATTGACGAGATGCCTCGGCAGGGTTGACGGTGTAGGTATTGCCGAGAGCCCATTCCGGATCCTCACTATTGGACGAGCACGCTGAGGAGCTCGCAATAGCGGGTTGATGTGACTTCGTTGCTTTCGACGCGGCATTTGATCTTGTCAGACACACGAACAGAGGCCTCGACGAGAGTGATAAACCCTCATGACCTAGAAGCCAGGATGGCTTCAGGCCGTGCGGCATTTATAGGTGATCAGCGTGATGTCTAGAGGTTGACGGTATCCCAGGACATAATACAGGCGCTTGCAACTCTAATACGAATTGATGTATGTGATGATACACAACAATTGCGAAAGCTCATTGATTGAAGCAGGACCCATTCTTGAAAGCAAACGGCAAGAGTTGGAGGGCCCCGTGGTGACTAAGCCCGCGGTGACTAAGCCCCGCGCCAACCAATCCTAGAAAGGAAGCCCCACCATGGCTGCCTCCAGCTCCCAAGGTCTCTCTCCATTTTGACTATTCTCTACCTTCTTTATTCATCAGCTCCTGATTTTCAAAAAGATCGCAAGATTGGAGTCCTTAGAGAATAATACGACGAAATGGGGGATGTGAAGATGGCGTATTCTACCTACGTAAAGACAGTCGGAGACATCGCCAAGTCTAACGCGGCAGCAGAACGCCAACGAGAACTTGAAAGTCAGCTCTGCTTGAGCCACACTTTGTCAAGTGGGAGTTTTCAATTTTGAGTGTCGTAAGCGCTCTTCCGAGACCCATGCTCGTTAGTGCAGCCTTCTTTTTTATCAGTGCCCGTGTATTTGTAAGCACTGTGGACGCCTTACAGGAGTATTCCCACGAGTTTCTACTCGATCCTATAACTGCGGGAAACCTATATAAGTGCCTTCAAAAGCTATTAGTAGAAAAACGATGGCACGAAGAACGGATCCAAGGGATGATGAGTGGAAAAATGTCCAAGATGCGAAGAAGAGGAAGCAGATACAGGACCGATTGGCACAACGTGCACGCCGTATGTGTGGACCATCGCGCATGCATCATTTTATACTCATATAATGTAGGGCAGCGACTACGTCAAGCTCAAAACGAAACCAGCATATCGACATCGCGATTGCCTCAAACCCAACGCCCGGAATCCTCCACGAATGATACATCATCTGAGATCGCAATTAGATCCAGTCCAGACGATATCGCGCATCTCAATACGTCGAGATCACCCTGCCCACATTTCCAGAACGTAGAAGTACATTCTAGCGCACTAGAGATTGATTTAACGTGCAACCCCTACCCCCAAACTTGCTCAATACCTTCCCCACTAGCCCAGACCATGATCCCCTTGACCGTCTTTGCTGCACTCTATGCAAACGGCGACATCCAAGGCATTTCCTGCGCTACTACCTACTCCTCACGGACTCCCATGCCGAAGCCGCATATTCCATTACCTCTGCATCCAACAGAGCTGCAAATGATGATTGTACATCCGCGGTGGATTGACCGGCTCCCATTTCCGCGAATGAGGGATAGTTTGATAAAGCTGATAGGTGTGGTGGACGAGGAAGAGCTGTGCAAGGACTTGTTTACTATGCCGAGTTGGGCCATTGAGCCGGGATACGCATCCTGGGATCCTAGGGCCTGGAAGATGGAAAGGGAATGGGAAATGAAATGGGGGTGGTTAATGATATGAGGGTATCGGTTGATGATGAGAAAATGCTTTGTTACACAGCCAATGAACCTAAGAGATCAAGAGAATCTCGCACTTATTTTACAGAGGCAGTCTTCCTTCCACCGCAGTAGGTACCTGGAGATATCTACGCGGTTTCCACCGTTTGAGCTTGCGGTGTCACTCAGCCGTCAACCTTCCTTCCTTCCCCTCCTTCGAATCGATGCTTCCCAATTTCCAACACGTCGATCTTATCACCCACCGCGACGGCTCCTGTATCCAATGGCGTGACTTGCATACCCAGACACGCATTCTTAGACCCCTCATCGATAATCCTGTAACTCCTCAACGTAGTCAGAGGCTCGTTCTTATCGGCTACAGCAGTTTTTGGGTCGACGTTAGGCAACTTGCACCTGGTCGTCCGACAGGAGATGTGCAGGTTCATGGAGGATGCGGAATCAGATGAAGTAATTTGCGCCTGCTTCCAGTCGTCTTCAGCAAAGGCAGGAGGTCCAGTGATGTAAATGTTTGCGCGGAATCGCAGCGCGTCGAGGAGGGTAAGATGCCGTTGCCAGAGTTCTGGAAGTTCGGAAGAGGGATTGGGGAGCTTGGATGCTACGTCGTGGACCGAGGCGAGATTCAAAATATGGATCGGGTACTGTAGTACTATTAATCATAATGCCGTAGAACGTCAGGACAGAATCTTCAAGATTCAGGCGCCTGGAACGGCAACAGCTGAGATCAAAGAATCGTAAGACATGACTGAAAAAATCCATACGTACCGAATCGTGCATTCCAATGACCGTCTCAAATCCAACATCCTCCTTTTTGGGCGCGCATTTGTGTACTTCCCGATACGCATTCGTGTCAATTCTGAAGAGCGCAATTGGATTTGCTGCACCAAGGGTATATCTCAACTTCTCGAAGACTTCGCGATCAATCTCCGAGCTAACATTGAGTGCAGTAGGGCTGTCTTTCCAGATACGCAAAACTTCGCTCCGATATCCCTTGCTCTTGATCCTCTCCGGAGAAGGGTTGAAAGGTACTCTGAACTCCAGCATCGGCTCCGATTTTCGACTCAATCTTGCCAACATGATTTTTCCATAGTTGATCAGACCCTCAATCGTGAAGTCGGTGTCGGGAGAAAAGGGAAAACGAATGACCAGGCATCCCTCGCTTTTGACCCATTCTCCGTCTTCTTTATAGCCTCTTGCGGAAGGATCCGGAACCCAAATCTCAGTGTCGACTTTAGCAAGGCGAGGGAATTTCCTTTGGGTCATAAAGTGCCATTCACTGGTCACCTTGCCGTCTAGCGTGGGCAAGCTCGTGACTTGCTGGGCGAGAGTGAATTGGCGATCATATCTCAGTCCTGTGCGATCGATCTCGCTCTTGCTCAACTCGACGGGTGCACCTGACTTCAGGGGGTAGACGAAGAGTGCCTTGACCGTCCATGGCTTCTCTGGAGTGGGGTCACCGCCCTTGGCATATCTCTTAGAATACTGATCCTCCAGATTACTGCGTCCTTGAAGCCCAAGTTTCCTGCAACCGGCTGGCGGAGGTAGTGGCTTTGGTGTTTTGAAGGCAGCGAGAACAAGCAAAAAGACCAGAGGGGCGATACAAGAAGCCGTCGTGAGGAGGATTGCCTGGAGTGTTATGTTGATACCAGCTTCTTTGAGAATACCATTGGCAGCAAGTACGAAGTTTTCGACATTTTCCGCCATGCTGGTGTAGACGTTCACACGCTGCTAGGGAGAGGAGTGTGGCGTGTGGTCAAAGGAGAGATCTAGAAGCTCGAAGATGCGACTCTTATCGTGAAAACATGCCAAGGTATAAGCCCAAGCAATATCGTCGGCGCTAGAACACAGAAGGCAGGTGTGCTTGAACGAGTGAAAGACCAGATCATCCAGAACGCGTCTCTCTTGGGGCAGTATGTTTGTCGCGAGAAGGAAGCAAGGCATGTGGAAGTGAGGAGAGGGTGCGAGTCATGATAAACCGCGGCCCGCATTTGCTCTCGACAAAGTCTCCCGAACACCCACCATACGCACCTTCTACCTACACGAAGGCTTCCTCGACCCCATCGCGCACAGGGCAAGCAGAATAACGCGAAACGTCATGCACGTCAACGCGAGATCACGAGACTACCGCACCACCATCGCAATCCGCTGAGGCTCGACCGCAAGCCACGACACACCATGGCCAGTGAAGAAGCACCCCAGCTGTCACCCTCGTCGCGTAGGCAATTGCTCCTCTCGCGCAGATGGCATAGATAACTGACACTATCACAGACAGGCTGCCCACCGTCTCGGCATCCCAAGCCCTCCAAAGCCTCCATGCGCGCGGAGCCCGCACTGTATCGACGGGCCTGGCACAGCTCGACCAGGTCCTCTCACCGCCGAGCCTACCGGGCCACCATGTCTCGGGCGGATACATACGCGGCAAGGTGACGGAGATCTTCGGCCCGTCCGGAGTCGGCAAGACAGCATTTGGGTAATTGTGCCTGCGTCACAGCTTCACGAGAGACGGCGGCTGAAGGGTTCAAGGATACAGGCTGCAGTCTCTGCCCTGCGCGAGGGTCAGCGAGTGATATGGGTCGGTATGTATATGTCGTCAACTGCGGACCAGGGCTAATTGATTGCTTGCAGACGCTGCCTGTGCGCCTTTGGTCAAGCATCGCGTCGACGACATGCTCACCTCGCAACCCGACGCGCCCCATGTCTCTCGAGATGAACTGCGTGCTCATTTCCACTACTTGGCCATGCCGACGCTTGCCCATTTCCTAGCGCTGTTCATGCACGCGCCCGCTGCCTTTCCTCCGCACGGCACCAGCCTGGTCGTCGTAGACTCTCTTGCAACCCTCGTCGATAACGCATACCCCCGCAATGTCGACGACCGCCTACCCAAAAACAAGACAGATCAGGCACGCTGGGCTGCAGGACGTCGATATACCGTCATCAACGAGCTGATCGCCACACTTACGCGCTTCGCTGCACTGCACGACATCGCCCTACTAGTGACGAGCCAGACCATTACACGCATCCGTGGCGCTTCACGCGCATTGTTGGTACCGGCAATATCAGGGATTGAATGGGAGAATGGCGTTTCTACTCGTCTGGTTCTCTTCAGAGACTGGCCCCGACACGGCAAGGCCAAGAGCAAGGTACAAGCCGACAGCTTGCAGAAAGCCCGATTTGCTGGCTTAGTCAAGGCGAATGGTGTAGCTCTCGCGGAAGAAGGCAGTGTGGGCAACGTGGTATCCTTCACCATTGACCATGTGCGTCGATATACACCTGCAGAGCGTTCATCTACCACGATGCGCTCCAACATCCTGTGCGATGAGCTCCCGCTGACGCTATACAGCACGGGCTTTGCGACATGAACGTAGCAGCCGACGATATTGCAACCCCTCTGTTCGTCCCAACAGAAGCCAGACCGCCTAAAAGATCCTTCGCCGAGATCGACGAGGACGTGGCTCGAGAACCCAATTCCGATGAGCTCTATGGCTGGATAGAAGACGATGAAGTCGCCACTGAGGGGTTGTTGATGGATGAAGCAGCCGTCAACGAGAACGACGCTGCGGGACCTCGCCTAGATGTTGTCGCAGAGGGCCATAAGAAGAAGGTAACACGGACATCTACGCTTTGATTGTAGGGGCACCAGTCCACCCTACACCTCTGCCACAGTCAAGACCCGCCAAGTTATTGCTCTGTCGCGACGCGCGCTGCTCGTCAGACGTGTTCTGCTTACATCTGGGGTAAGCTCGTATGTATCTCCCTTCTCTTCATATGCAAGGTCTAAAAACTGGCAAATCTACCAGTTAGAACGTAGATCTCGCATTTCCACCGATGATACAGGCCTACGGCCCGCGGGAATGGATCTCGCTATTCAGCCGTGTGGGGTCGTACAGTGCACCCCGGAATGAACACCCACACCTTGTCTCCGCACCAACCCGCATGCTCGCCTGCATTCGAAGCGCTCTGACATCAGCACCGAGATGCGTCTCCGCGCGCTACGGTCAAACACTCTCGTTTCCGCGTAATCCAGCTCGGGCATGTACGTATTCTTCCGGCGGTAGATTTGCTTCGCATCCGTCCTCCACTTATACAAATCCGGACACAGAGCCTATGGGTGTCGTCCCCAGGCTAGCGGTATCCACGAAAAGCAACAAAAAGCAAATGCACAACACAAGCCTCATCAGCCTTTACACGTGCATGCATCACCCCGGAACTCCGGTGCTCACAGGGATCGGGGAAGCGCCCGCAAACCCAAAGCCCTGGGTTTCTCACCAGCAAAAGTCGTGCTTCTTTTGGATGATGATGGCTTGAGGCTTCGCGAGTCCGGGGTCAGCGGGGTTGGTGTGTCGCCTGGGCGTGGGGGCTGCCACCTACCTGCTTGTTTCACGTTCTGATTGCTCGTGGCAGACCACCTGACCATGTGATAGGCATTTTCGCGACAGTGTTATAGCAAGCCACTGATACAATCGCATTTGATTACCCCACGGGGAGCATAGCGAACTACACAATCCTGCCGGAGAAGCACCTGCTTCCAATGTGGACTCCGCAGCAAGCGATAGTTCATGTTACTGTCCTGTCGCCAAGGGCGCATACGTGAACGAAATCTAGATTTACTTGCTCACCGCCAGTCAGCCACACAAACTGCACAAGAGATGGTGATCTCCTCTTTCCACAACAATCAGCATCTGTCATGCCAGGCAGAAACAGCTTCAACGCATATCATCGGCTCCACCAACAGCAGGGGCGTCGTTTAACGCCAGATGCAGAAGGTCCTTGCCTTAGTATCAACCGTGCAATGTCACTCCTTCCCCACGCTTCTCCACAAACGCACTACGCTTCGCTGGTCACCGTTGATCCCTTGCCCTGATGGAGGCGGAGACTGCGTGAAGAGACGGCTTTCACGGCCCTAGCGGGCGACTGACACGCGGTATCCGGGGCCGAGCCGCCTGTGAAGCAAGATGTTCGCTTCGCTTAGACGCCTGATGTGGGGATCGTGGTGTTGATCCTGAATCTGATGTTTGGAGGTTTGCAACGCTGCTGCCTCTTCGAGTAATCCGTGGAAGGAGGTGCAGAGGAAGACGGCGTGCGTACGTAACGGTATTGTTGGTCGTCGGGTAACGGTGTCCGAGATGATAACGTAGTGCACATTGGATGATGGTGATAGTGGCTTCGTATGTTGTTCTGCACGATGCATGTTATGGCGAACTTGAACTTTAGGAAGGAGAGGCTAGTTAATGGTGTCAATACGATTAGTAGTACCTAATACATTGTCCGAAGGTTTCGTTTCTGATAGTTCTTACGCGCTGTACGGGTATGGGCCGGCGGCATTGATACTTGCTGCGTATAGGACACATGATACCACGGCTTGTATTGCCTTTACTGTACATTCGCTAGCACCTGTAGACAGCAACCCGCCTATGAACAAGATACTCTCCTGACTCAGATGTATCTGGCTGCTATACGATACCACACGGCTTTGTTGTTTATAATATAGTGCTCTGGCGGTATTACAACAAGCATGCGAATCGACGCGCTTAGAAGCGACGACAGTATTGCATCGCAGGAACGTATATATCGTGTAGCAGAACATACTTTGTCGATTGCTACCTGCACCGAACGAGTGTTGTTGCTTTGGTCTTTTATAATGTAAAGATAGATGTGTATAGTGCAAGACCATACGCAAACACTAGTGCGAAGCTGAGTCGCTAGTAAAACGAAGTTGAGTAAGACTTTGCACCGAGTGCACGTTGGTTCTCCTACCCATTTTGATCCTGTGAAACACAAAGGTGTCAAAGTTAACAAGCGGAAGCCGATCCATGGTTATGCAGGCGCCTTGGCTCAGTTGTCATACTGACTAAAGTTCGACATGAAGTGGGTATGCACAAAGGTCTTTGCTGACTGGGTTTCCATCTCCCGCGACAAGCGGAACGAAAAGACACCAGAACCATCCAAGACTGGTACTGAGCACAGCTCACATCAATGTAGGCGCTTGCATAACAGCTCAAGCATGAAAGGAACTCCAGTGCTGCGCGGGCAGATAAGCGAGACGCGTTCGCCATCGACAAACCAGGTCGGTGTAATAGCGTGCACTCAAACAAATACCATTGACATCCGAAACAGTACTGTATGGCTCTATAGTGCCCGAACGCGCAGGGAGAGGATGAGGTAACGAGGGACCAAGCCATCAAATAAGGATATCCCCAGTCTGTCAATCGTGCTCGTGAGTACGAAAAGCCCAAAATATCAATCGGTAGGCCACTTCCGATCGACCAAGGACTGGAAACCTCCGTAATCTACTATCGTCTAAGTTGATCCTTATCACTGTACAGCTGAGGGTCTCGCAGCGGCCCTCGTGTAAGTAACTCTATCCCCGGCCTCAGAAGTTGCGATCATCCTGGCACAACGCGAATCTCCCCGGGGCTAAAGGCAGATCGACATTCTCCCTTCATCCGCGGACTGCATCCGATTGATTGTTCCCAAGATCACGATCGGGGCTGCGTAGATCCATGAGGGGCTGCTAATGAAATGCTCTGGGGCATTAGAGCCTGGAGAAGCGCTAGGTTCCAGTTGCCCTCAATAATTGAGATAGGAGGTCTATTGAGTTTGTCAAGCGCAGCGATTGCGGACAAGACGACGATCTTTATGCAGACGTGTGGAGATCGTGGTCTGACGTAGGATCGACATGTGACTGGAGATTTGTTCATGTTGGGTGACTGCATTAAAGAAATTTGCAGACCTCGAATTCCGCCATCGGTCCATGTCAACCCCAGCTATGCAGCATTCGTAATCTGTTCCCACCATCTGTGCACTGGGATTGCCACCGAAGCTTGGCGTGATGTACTGGGGTCGTCGCGTCGTTGCGTCTTGTCACTATCTTTGAAGACGACAGACTGACATCGAGTAGTGAACAACATGGCCACTACGGTAAGTCTAGGCAGAGAAGGTCGGATCTGATGAGGTGGCGGTATCATCGAAACAAAACCCCTGGATCGCCTTCGCCTCGTCTCGGTCCATGAGCCACTGTCAACGGTGCGGGGCCCCAGAGCCCGACCCGTAGATCAACCGATACTATCGGGTACTGCTGGCTTTGACGCGTAATGGGGTCTTCCAGACTTGCGAAACACGTCAGTACAATGGGCCAAAGAAACCCTGGGGACTCCAGTTTGAAGTCATTAAGCGCCGCAACAGTTGGTGAGTGTCAGGTCGCGCTGGGCGATGAGAAGGTAAAACCCTGGCAGAACTGGTCCCACTGCGCAACAGCTGTCACCCAGGGGATTGGAAGGTCGACGGGCACTGGTCCGACCGACGTCGCAGATGGCAATCTGCTAGGACAGAGGTTGCTTGAAACTGTACCTCGGCCGACGTTCGCTGTCTTCACGAGCGAAACGCATGGTGGAAGAACGTCGGCATAACTAAGCTGGAGTTGTGCTGGTTTCGGGTCTAGCACTGTGACGTCTGGAAGGACAGTGCTTCTACAAAA